CTACACGGCTCTTGGCGGGCCCGCTCCCTGCCTGGTCCTCAGCGTCCTTCCTGGTTGCTCCCTTGCGGTCGTGTGAGAGTCACAGAAGGGAATCTGATGGGCACGCCTGGCACTGCCCCCTCCTGCCACCCCCATAGCTTCTGCCGACGGGTCAGCTAGCGGCGGGCGGGTGAGCAGGTGCTGATGCGGGTCGGGGGTCACCCGCCACTGTGAGGAGGCCTCGCCCTGACGGAGCCTCACGAGCTCTGGCTGCAGCGATGTCCTGAGGTGAGGGGTCCAGCTTAGCGTCTGAAGCCCTTGCCCCGGGAGCCGCGGCCGAGGTCCTCCAGCCGAGCCGTTGCCTGGGCCCTACCTGAGCCTGCTGTTGGCAGAGGTGCACCGGGGACCCGCGGAGCTCGCCGGCCGCACGTCCTCCTGTCACTGGGACGACCGATCGTCTGCCCACAGACAATGCAGAGCGACTGTGCACGTCGGCACGGGGTCCTGCCCAGTCACGGCCCCTGCTGGATCCTTCACTTCCTGAAAGGGTTACAGGAGAGCTTTCCATCTCAGTTGCTGGAGTCCCTGCGGAGACTGGGAAGGGGGACGTGGTTCAGACCCAGGAATGGCCTCTCCCTCCAAGAAAATGAAGAGGGGCGAGCTGGAGCCAAGGATGGATGGCGGGTGTGCTCGGGAGCTGGGTGACCTCCACGTGTCGCTGGACTGAGAAGAGCTGTTGTGCGCACACGGACCACACAGCGACTCACGAAGCAGGAGTAGCTGTCATGTTGCTGGTGAGGTGGGACTCGCCTACCACAGGGCGTTTGCATGTGTGCGACGCATCCATGTCCAGGAGAACATGTTAATGGTGCTGTGCACCCACCGCCCCCCCAGTCAGAACATCTGCCTCCCCCAGACAACACATTAGCGACCCCTCGCCCAGCCGCTGGCCGGCAGGGTCCCTGTGGATCTGCCTGTTCTGGGCATTGCATGTGAATGGAACCCACAACTCGGGCCCTCCTGTCTCCGCTTCTGTCCCTTCCGTGTGTTTTCCCAGTTCCCTGTGCTGTAGTGTGTGTCCTTGTGCCGAGTGGTGACTCCGTGACGCGGGTAGACCGGCCTCGTCGGTCGGGATGTGCGGCGGTTGCGAGCGTGGCCGCTGTGAGCACGTGTGTGCCTGCAGGGGTGTGGATGGCTGCTTCCACTGCTCGTGGGCACACGCCGAGCGCTGGGACCGCTGGTTCGTGTGGCGACCGCACGCTCACGCTTCCGGGAAGCCGTGGCGGCCTCTCACGGCGGCTGCACCACCCCACGTTCCCGCCCGTGACGGAGAGGCCCAGCTTCCAGCACTCGCCCGTCCTCGCCGCCCGGGGCGCGTGAGCGTGTCTCCTGTGGCTCCCGTGCATGTTTCCCAGCAGCCACCGGTGGTGAACGCGATGTGGCCGCCTGACAGTTTGCGTGAACGGTCCTTGGGTCCCTCTGCGCGGACCGGACCGTCAGCCACGTGAGAGTCAGCGGCGCCGTCGGGACCGGACGGGAGGAGGCAGGGTTTGCTGCGTGAACGTGCGCTTGCTATCCACAGAGTCACTTCTGCTTCTGTTCTGGGTTAGACTCCGTTTACACGGTGACTCGGGAGTGGGACACAGTCCCTCACCGTGAACCGGACCGTCTGCTTGGATCTTTTCAGACTGGACAGAAACGTGCCGCGTGAGTTAGTGGGACGACCGTATTTGCAGGTTCCTTTGCCCTGGGACAGAGGCGGAGGGGTCATTCCCAGCTCTGACAGCCCTCCGAGCCGTGCGGCCTGCGGCGAATTGTGCCGCCACTCCGGGGACGGCATCGTCCGCACTCGGATCCACAGGTGGGCTCGTCGGGTCAGGAGAGCGGAGCCCACAGTGCCCATGGGGTCTGCTCGGAGCTGATCTCGCTACCCAAACCACCTCCTTACCTGCGGTTCCTCCTGGACAGCGGTGCCGGCCGGCCCGCCGAGTGCTCTGCCCGGCCTCCCCGTCAGCCGCCGTCTTGTGTAAGTGTCTCCTTGTTTCTGTATGTGACAGTTTCGCTCACGTGATGATAAGGACTCCTTCCTCCTCTGTGTGAGTCCGGCGTGTTGGGAACGCGCTCACCACAGTGCCTCTCCTCGTGAGCTGCGGGAGGGCATCTGGAGCGGCACCGACATGGCCCTGGGTTTGCGTCTTGGAGGCCAGAGAATGCTTGGGTGCATTCCCGTGGGACAGGTGTCCATGTTGGTTTGGACGTGGTTCCAGCCATGGGGGTGTGCGGGAAGCGTCCTCCGGGGCCGCTGGGAGCTGGGGAGGAGCCGATGAGGGCAGCTTCAACCCTGCGTGGGGCTGCGCGCCCCCGGCCGTCCTCAGCACTCCAAGGTGTGCATCGTGGAGGCCGTGTTGGGTGTCATGGCTGGTCCCGTCTGAGATGAATCCCTAAAGACAGAGGCTGGTGTTGCTGTCTTACCGGCCTCGGGGGTTTCGTGAAGACCCATGCGGTCATGCTCCAGCTCAGAGCGACGTGATGCCTTTCCGTGGGCGCCATTGCTGGACACAGACCGTGGGACTGGTGTTTGGCTCAGGACTGGCGAGGTCATGAAGTCATATAATCGGGACTAATAAGTTTGTTTTCGCTGCTGCTTGGACAGAGAAGCAGAATCCCGCGACGAGGTTGGACGCAGGAGTGCTGAGCGACGTGTCCGCAGCCACGGAGCTGGTCCGCTGCAGGACGCACGCGTGATGGGGCGCTCGGGGGAGCCTTGTGGTAGGGGTCTCCCCACATCTTGCACATTTGGTTTTAGTCTTCTTAGAGCTGGACAAGGATGCAGAGAATACCACGCAAACCTTGGTCTTGATCTGAACCCGGAGACGCTGCCTGCTTGTCAGGGGCGCACGTGGGATGCCCTGTAAGGTCCTGACCTGGGGACGGGTCCTTCCTCGGTGTCCTGTCCTGGGCCCCGTGACACTGACCGTGTGGTGAGCAGCGTCCACTGGAAGTGGAGTTCACCAAAGGCCTTCAAGTCCACCGAGTGGTCACTGGTCCCAGGAGCAAGGGGCCTTCTGGAAGCTGGTGGCTTCTTTCTGTCCCTCAGGGAACGGCAGGAAGGTAGCATCCTAACGTGGAGCCGAGCGCTCACCCGGGACCTATGGGGCTCCTCCCCGAGTGGATTTGTTGTGGCGATGACTTAGTGAGGCTGACTGCTGGTTGGTGCTCAGTGACTCTGTGGTCTCGTCCTGTAGGCGGTAAATTGTCACTGTCCGTGTGGTCATATCCGAGGTGTCCTGTGATTACACTTAAACAGCGCACGTCCGCTAGACGGTGTGGAGCCTGTGGGTTGGCCTTGATAACATTTGTTCCGACTCTGCATCCCTAGAGTTGGGGACCCGTCCGGACACAGTGGACGCCTTGCTGCCCCGTGGGACGGCTGGTGCGTCCGCATTCAGTGTTGGGGCCGAAAGCCAGTGGCTGGAGAAAGGTCTTCAGGATTTTCGTTTTTGTACTAAAAGCTGTTTTTATGTTCTTCTTTCTTTTCCTGGTTCCTTTATCATGTATTCTCTTTCAACGTAAGTTTGCAAGTGGCAGGGATGGAAGCCTGTGGCTGTGTCCTGAGAAATAAAGGGGAACCAGGGCTCCGTGCTTTCTTGACCCTCACACCCAGAGACTGACATGTGATGCTCTTACGAGGCGTTTCGTGAGCACCCCCAAAATGGGAAGGCAGCAGGAAGGGGCGTGGGGCGGTGGCGGGGGCACGCGCTGGCTCGGGTGTGGCCTGGCCCTCGGGGCGCTGGGTTCCTATAGGGCCGCGGGCTCCTGGCAGGGCCGCGTCCCCAGATCCTGCCGGTGATGGGCCATCCTGTTCTCTGCCAGGGATCCCGCGTTTCTCACGTCCCCTCTGAGTGTGTCCAGACACACGGCTGGAGTTACGGAGACCGGCTTGGTCTCTGCTCTTCGTCTGCACTGGCGTCTCGCAAAGCCTGGCCCTGACGGGAGGCCTGGAGGCGGCGTTGGCTGAGGGAATGTGCACACATGTGCCGGGGGTGCGCCCGGAGGCTCCTGACCCTGAGAAGGTGGGGACGGGCAAACCGATGGCACGTGAGCGAAAACACCAAGCCAGGCGAGGCCAGGCTGTCCTGAGTTCCCATCAGGGGTGAGGGCTCCCTGACCCACAGGGTTGGCACAGCAAGAGGCGGAGGTGGGAGACCCCGGGCTCCCACATTTCGTGCTCTGTTCGTTGTCAACGGCTGGGGTGCGGTGCTGCCCTCGGGCCCTGTGGAGCTGCCTGAGGCCCGTGATCAGGGACACTTGGCCCGAGCTTTGATCTGACCCACCTTCTTCCTGTCCTGTTGACACTGACCAGCTCTCCTCCACCAAGTCCCGGAGCCCAGGGGCCGTCCAGACAGGAGGCCAGGACCCTGAGCTAGGCCGTCGGCTGGGGGAGGGGGCCCGGGACCCTGAGCTGGGCCTGTGTGAGGCTTCATTTTAGCTTTCATCTGTCACTGTGGTGTCTTGGCTCTTCTGTGTTGACAGCATAGGGTTGGATGTGTGTAAAGATTTTTCGGGTCAGAAGATCATGGGCCTCGTGGGCATGACCCTTTGAATAATACGAAGCCAGGTCAGACCGCAGCCGCCTCTCTCCCTAGGAGAAGCCTCGAGCGGGGAGCAGGAGCGCGCCCACAGTGCCGTCCTGCGTGACGGTCTTACCCTCTCCTTAGAGACCTGCTCCCGGGGGTCTGACAGCTGCTGTCCTGTGTTGGGAGCCCGGGATCGTGCCGCGCTGTCTGCTTGGAGTCCCGCCGTGTCCTTTCCCCTGACGACCAGCTTAGAGGGGCTTCCCCGCCGGCTTCCCCGGGGGAGCAGACCACCTGCTCAGCCCGGCCCCTTGGGAACGTGCCCTGTGAGGGTTGAGTGGGATTGGGGCGGCTGCGGCCTGGGCAGACTTTGCGGATGAGGCGTGCGTCCCGGCTGGCACTCCGGGAGGAGCAGTCTCCCCGCTAACGCCACTCTGTCCCCCACAGTGTGCCGGAGAAGAGAACTGCGTGGACAGCCGGACCATCTACGTGGGGCACAGGGAGCCCCCACCAGGTGCTGAGGCCTACATCCCGCAGAGGCACCCCGACAACAGAATCGTCTCCTCCAAGGTGAGCTTCTGTCTGGGACCTTGTCTCCCTGGGCCCTCTGGGGACGCTGGTTACCCGCTCTGCTCCTGGGCCATTGCCGCGGCCACCGCCCCTCACACCGAGTGCTGGGGTTGGCATCCACTTGTCCCATGGCTTGTCCCCACAGCTAGTGAGATGTGCGTCCTGTGAGCTAGACCCCCTTTCCTTCACGTCTCTTTAATTATGCCACGGACACAGGAGGCCTACTTCTGCCGCTGATGTATTTGCCGTCCGGCCACGTGCCCCTCCCAAGCCACCCCTGGCCAGGGTCTCCTTCTCTGCAGAGACAACACCGAATATTTCTGGTGGCAGCAGGTGTGTGTAGGCCCCTTGTAAACGGGGACACTGGGCATGGACTATCAGTGTCGCGAGTGCCACCGGAAGGCCGTGACAGGAGTGTGGTCACTCACGTGCCTCGCGTGTTCTCCTTGACTGAGCGCGGGGACACGGAGGTGTACTCCACACCCTTGCAGGGTCACCGCTCCGTGGCTCTCCAGGATGGGTGCGGAATTTCCTAGTCGGCTCTGAACAAAAAGGTAGATGATGGGTTCCGGATTTGGGAGAACTTTCCCTTTAGGTGGACACCCCCGTGTCCACAAAGGTGTGCACACATAGCTCCGTGTCCCTTGCGTGCAGTGTGCCCAGACCCCACGCGGGGGCCCCGGACACACACCCCTGTGTGGCGGGCCCACTAAGTCCGTACGTGGCTGCCCACATGTCTAGATGTATGTGGTCGACCTACTCAAGTCCTCGGAGACGATCGAAGATGCTGCTGAGCTTGAGAATCCTCCAGAAACACTTTGTTCTTCGAGGCCGTTTTGTTAAATGGAGGGATTTTATTTAAAACTGCGATGGAAAATCAGTCACAATGATGGTCCCGGCTTCCGTCAGAATCACCATGCGGACAAGCGGGCTGCTCACCACAGAAATCCCACGTGACGTGCGTGGTACATGGTCACCCAGAGGGATCCGTGCCGGGAGACGCCGCTGAGCAGGACCTTCCCGAGGTGGGGGGTGCTTTGCTGCGGTGACCTGTACGGACCAGACGCGGTCTCTGGCGGGGCGTGCTGAAGACCATGTCCCTGGTGTGCCCAACACGGACAGGGAGGCCCAGACACGTTTCTGAAAAATCAGCTCCCATGCCGTTCGGATACATCGAGAATCGGGGAAGCATGTCAGACGCCGTGGCCGTGGGGACCAGGTGAACCAGGTGGGGCAGGTGGCGGGGGCTGGTGATGGGGCTCAAGGCCGCCCGTGGCCCCATGTCCCGCCGGCAGGACGTTTGTCAGCCCCTTTGGCCACTGGTGGCTTCCCGCCATGGCTGGCTTCTCCCTCCAGGGACAAAGCCCCCAGGGCCTTCGGGTCGATGTGGGAAGTTCCGCACAGCGTGGTGCTGTAGAACCTTCCGGAAGAGAGAGCTCCTGGTTCACTGGGGCTGTCCGAGGGCCTTCCTGGCGCATGTGGTAGACTATAGCCAGACGCTGAAAGATGCTTTATTTAGGACAGAAAAGCCCTTTCGGTGTTTTAGGGGAGACAGCCAGAAGCAGTGACTCCCGACTCTGTGCCCTGGCTGAAGTGGGACGGCCGCTTCGTTTTCATGTTTTCCTTTCAAAGACTCCCGCAGGGACTCTGAGGCGCCAGGTCATTGTCTCACCTTTTCTGTCCCTGGGTGGCCCCCACCACCCCCAGCTGCCCTACCCGCCCTGGGCCCCCAGCACTGCCTCGGTTTCTGACGGGGTGGGGGAAGGAGCGTTTGAGACAGACCTGCCGCTTCCCGGGCTTTCACGGTGTGTCCTTCCCACGAAGGCTCCTTCAGAGCGGGCGGAACTGAGTCGACGTCCTTGCAAGGGGCAGGTCAGGCTGAGGCCACACAGACGCTCCGGCCCTGAGTCTCCGCTCCGAGCGGGAGGGGCCCTGCGTCCTCTGCTCTGAGATGACCGCAGGGGTAGGGTAGTGGCTGGGCGAGCTGTCCGCGGGAGACGATGGTGCGTCATTTAAAGAGAAATCATGTACGGACACCACAGCGTCAGCGACTAGTCGGAGTCTGTACGGAAGAGGCTCTCGGAAGGCTGCGGGCTGCGCGCCGAGCTCTGTCGGGGTGGACGGCAGCTGTGGCGTCTGTCGGCGTCCAGAGCGCCTGATTGCTCTCATCTTGACAGTTCCGAGAGCGCGGAGAAAACAGCTTGGCGGGCGCACCCCAAGCCCGCAGCGTGCTGTGACGCATCCACGTTTTCCTGGGAAGAGCGAGAACGAGCACTGCCAGCTGCGACCTGGTGCACCCGCGTGCTCGAGAGAGCTGCCCACGGGGGTGAGAAGCCCCTGTCCGGGCTCGGCTTCCGACCTGTCCCGCGGAAAGGCCGACTGGGCGACCCGTGACTCAGAGTTCGGTTTGCGTTCTGGCGGAGACGCCCTGGTCAGGTGTGTCTGGGACGAAGGAGAAAAGAACCCACACCGCAGGGCGTCCCCTTCCTTGTGCCTCTGACGCCGCGTGGACCCCCACACCCCATACCTGCTGGAGCTCGCGAGCGAGCAGACCCCAGATCCAGGAGAAGGACCAGATGCCGCCTGCTCTGTCCGCGAACTGCTTCTCTGGGCGCTGGTCCACGTGGATCCCAGCTCCGGCCTCAGGACCGCTGCCGTCAGGGCCAGGCTGTCCGTCAGGCCATGCCTCTGAGAAAGCCGTGTCACTGCTGCTCACTGGCAGCACGACCACCGTTCCCAGTCGGATGTGGACGGACAGCGTTTGCCAGGACGTCTGAGTGTCTCCCGAGCCCAGAACCACCGTGTGAGGCCGCTGCTCCTTACGGAGCCCATCCTGCTGCCAGAGGAACAGCCTCCGGGTGACGCCCGTGGCTGACTTCTAGCTGCGCACCTGCCCCTGAGCCCACACCTCCCCGTGGCCCCCGGCGCCCCAGCACTGCCTCTCACTGGCCCGCCATGACGCTCACTCATTTTTCTAACATCAGGGATCCGCAGTGGGGTATAATTTTCTATTTTCTACTCCCGGTCTCCCAGTCGTGGACGAGGCAGCTCAGCTCCGTGTGTGTGACGGCTCTGCAGGGCAGGTCGGGGCTGCGCACGGCTGTGGCGCTGGGCCTGGGTTTGGGGCCAGCGGAGCCGAGGCCGCTTCGCATGTGTTATTGGACTTTCCAGTGGTCAGTGAGAGTGGTGCCCAGCACTCAGCTCTGGTTTCCTTCCACCGCGGTTCTGAGGCAGACCAGGTGGGCCACATTATTCTTTGTGCTGACCCACGCTCCCGGCGACTCAGAACCACGGTGACCGCCACAGAGCTGAGCCCGGTGTTCACAGAGGCTCCCACGTGAAGTGTTCGCAGTGGGAGAGCAGCAAGGAGTAGTGACCATCTCGTGCTGTTCACGTCGGGGTGAAGGGAGGTGCTCTGGCTATGCCCGGGACCCCTGGGACAACGGGCCGTCTGCTGCCCGGACGACCGCGGGAGCTGGGGCCCGATGCAGGGTCTGCGGAGCGTGTGACATCGTGGCCCCCTGTCCGCCCACTCAGTGCCCTGGACATTGGGAGGACGACGTGTGTGCAGTGGCCCCTGCATCCGCCACCAGCTCTTGTGTGTCACCCGGTGACCAGCCCGCGTGGTGCCCAGGTGCCCGCGCGCATTCCCGTTATCTCGCTGGGTTTCCACCTTTCTCGTCACGCGCCATCCGGAGTTACTGACCCTTTCTGACCATGTCAGCCGTCAGCAGGAACAACTTCTGGCGGTGGATAATCAGCCGGCGGCTGAGCCGGTACGTGGCTTCCCTGCACCTCAGTAGCGGGAAGCGGTCACTGAAGTGGCCTTCAGTCCCGATCCGATCTGGCTGCGGGCTCCCGAGATCAGGAGGCGGACGGGTCCGGAAGCGGCGCCTTCACACAGACGAGCCCCACGTTCCCGTGGCGTCCGAGCGTGGTTCCTCGTTCAGAAGCAGACGACGCTGTATTTGATTTCATGACCCATGGAAGATCAGTGCTTTCTAACGTGGGACGTTCAGGGATACGGAAAGGTCAGAGAGGGCTGCAATGAGTCTCTCAAGCCCTTGCCAGCAGTGCCCGCCGCTCCCCTGGGCGCCTCCACGGTCTCCCGCCAGTCCTGGGTTTTCATCCGTGCTCGCTGTGTGAGATCAAAGGCCAGGATTTGAGTACAAGCTCTTCCGTTAACATGACTTTGGTACCGAGTAACATGTCCCAGGTACTTGGGGACATTTCTGACTCACGGGTCCTGAGTAACGGGCGTGGGTGCTAGGCAGTAAAGGTCGGTTTTACGGGGCGAGGCCTTAAAGACGGCTCCATCTTGGGGTCAGGACATCTGTAAAGGACCACGGATCGGTCCAGGCTGGTCACAGAAACACAGAAACCCAGAAACCAGGGATAAATGCTGTGGCTGCCTCATAACTCATGTTTCTTTTAATAATGCCTTTTTTTTTTTTTTTTTTTTTTTTTTTTTTAAGATTTATTTATTTATTTATTTGTCAGAGAGACAGAGAGGGAGAGAGAGCAAGCACAGGCAGACAGAATGGCAGGCAGAGGCAGAGGGAGAAGCAGGCTCCCTGATGAGCAAGGAGCCCGATGTGGGACTCGATCCCAGGACGCTGGGATCATGACCTGAGCCGAAGGCAGCTGCTTAACCAACTGAGCCACCCAGGCGTCCCATTAATAATGCCTTTTAAAAGTTGGTGGAAAGTCACTGACTTTTTCAATATGGCCTATTTAAGAGAAAAAATATTTATTTTTCTTAAAAATCTAGAAAGTTGGCTGTGTTTGTGCTGTCCACGGAGCTGGGTGATTTTACGGTCCCCGTGATGTTTAGTACCAGGTTGAGCCAGAGCTGAGGTCGCAGCCACATTCCCGCAGGGCGCTTGCCTGTGTACTGACTCAACACGTGAAAAACTACGACCCGTCCCTGAATAATTCGCTGAAGTTCACTTGATTTTGAAGCATCAGGACCGGGTCGGATATGGGGTCTGACTCTAGAACGGCCGCGGGTTTCGCAGCGGAACGAGGAGTAAATGTTTTCTGAGTCCGTAGAGCGGCCGGTTGTCCTGAGGTAGGGGAGCGATGGAAGAATCCAAAACTTGGCCTTTTTGTTTTGGTTTTTTAGGGAGTTTGGGGAGGGGGAGACATGCCTGTATTTTGAGAAAATTGGCAGTTAGGGTTGGGTTTTTGCTTTTTTCTGGTGGAGAAACTGAGGCTAAGATCTAGGCACGTACCCCGCACCTGCTGCTAGTGTCTGGGCTGTGTCTCTGCCCAGGAGACCTGCTGTTTGGTTCTCAGTCTGCTCGCGCTCCAGTGAAGAAAGCCTCGTCGCGCACGGCAAAGTCCCGCGCCGTTCCTGGTGAAGAGTTTCAGCAAACTAGGAAAGCAGGAGCGTTTCAGCGTGGTGGAGAGTGTCCGTAACGCCGCAACTCGTACCGCCCCAGATGGCGAAAACGGAGTCGGCGCTTTGACCCGAGGACCGAGAGCGACACGGGCTCCCCTCTGTCCTGTTTGGCAGCTTTCCTGGGTGTTGTGGCTGGTATGGCGAGGACGGGAAGGGATGCGGGATAGGCAGACTGGGCAGGAAGAAACAAGGCAGGAGGCATGAAGGTCTGTGGGAAAATCCCAAAGAAAACTCCGGGCAGAACCTGGTGGTCTAGTGAGTGATCAGAGCCAGGCCAGCAGCAAACAGTCGAATTCGCAACTAAAATTTCCAGCTCTAAAAAAGATGCGGTTAAGAATTAGAGAGAGAAGCCATTGACTGAGGAAATGTTGGCCAGACACATGGCCTATGTCCGGCGGGACGCAGAGGGGAAGGGTGCTGGGGCGGGGGGGGGGGGGGGGGCACTGTGGGGTCGGGGGGGACTCAGAGGGGAAGGGTGCTGGGGGGGTCGGACGCCGTGGGGTGGGGCGGGACGCAGAGGGGAAGGGTGCTGCGGGGGTCGGACGCCGTGGGGTCGGGCGGGACACCAACACAGTGTTGACTGGGAGGTACTGACCTCCAGAACATTGTTGTTCTCAGCGCAGAAGGTAAGGAAACTCTCCTCCTGAGGCCAAGATGAGAAGTCTGGAGAGTAGGTGTCTCCAGGACTCCCCTCCCTGTCCGCCCTCCACTCCCTGCACGTGCAGGAGGGGTGCGTGGGCCATCTCCATGCTGCGGCATGACCCTTGCAGTGCTGACTTGGGGTGTCACTTTCTGGGGCCGGCCTGACGCTGTCACAAGACAGAGGGGAAGGAGGCAGACAGGGAGGAACGCCGGCACGTGTGTGTTAACAGTCGGAGGTTTACATTTTATGAAACGTATCTGGAGGTGGACTGTTGTTGGCCGCTTGGCAGGACGTGGAATTCCCTGGGGTTCGGTGCCTCATGCTCCCCCGCGCACGGTCCTGTGTCAGCAGCTCGTTCTCTGGCCGCAGATGGAGGACACGCCAGGTGCTGACTTGAGAGTTCTGTAGGGAAAGCAAACACGCAGCGGCGCTCTGAACCGGCGCTGTGACCCCACAGCGAGCGCTGTGGAGAAGGGAAATGTCATCACAGTGACGAGTCTTTGTTTTCCTTTGACACAGTACACGTTTTGGAACTTCATACCCAAGAACTTGTTTGAACAATTCAGAAGAATAGCCAACTTTTACTTTCTCATCATCTTTCTGGTACAGGTAAGGCCAGCTGTGTTTTTTATCGCTCACTCAAGGGTAAGAGCTCAGCTGAGAGCAGATTAACTGGGGTTTGCTGTCGAGCGAGAGCCCTGGAGCCCTTCGTGTGTTTCCTCTGCGGACAGCCATGTGGGCTCAGAGGGGCGTCCAGCTGACACAGACACGTGCCCGGTCTGCCCTGCGGTTGGTTCCGGCTGCCACCCAGTCCTCAAGGGGAAATCGGGAGCCCCCTCCTCTTTAGGGGAAACTCAGCAGCCCGGCTCAGCATTGCTGGGAGACCCTCCCCCGACGTGCGCGTGGGACGAGCCGGAAGAACCACAGTGAGGTCTGAGCGAGGGTGCGGGGCTCTGACATGTTCTAGGACCGGCCGCCTCACCGTTCTCAGTCATGCCGAACAGAGCAGGAGGACTTTTACGATGTCCCCAACATTAACTTATTCAAGTACTTGAGGTTTGGGCCAAAAGCAGTAAATTAAACTAAAACGCACCACGCGGTCAGGCTTGCGTCTCTGCCTCCGTTCGCCTGGTTCCGTTAGCAGGTCCCCATCTGTAGTGACCACCCTCCGTTCCGTGGGGGATCGGTGACTTACCCCATTTGACTTAGGTCTAGTGGGAGTTTACAGTAAGCCAACGCGGGTGTTGTAGTTGGCGTCTCCGGCCCGTCCCCAGTCCCCGGGACGCACTGGGAGCGGGCCCACCGGTCCGTCCCGGTCCCCGGTGGCGCTGGGGGTCGGCCCGCCGGCCCATCCCCGTCCCCGTCCCTGTCCCCGTCCCCACTGGCACTGGGGGTCGGCTGGCCGGACCGTTCCGTCCCTGCCCCGTCCCCACCCTGTCCCCGCTGGCACTGGGGGTTGGCTGGCCAGTCCATCCCTGTCCCTGTCCCCGTCCCCGCTGGCACTGGGGGTCGGCTGGCCGGACCGTCCCATCCCTGCCCTGTCCCCGCTGGCACTGGGGGTCAGCTGGCCAGTCCGTCCCTGTCCCCGTCCCCATCCCCGCTGGCACTGGGGGTCGGCTGGCCGGACCGTCCCGTCCCTGCCCTGTCCCCGCTGGCACTGGGAGTCGGCTGGCCAGTCCGTCCCCGTCCCCGTCCCCGCTGGCGTCTGTAACTCTGCTCTCGTTGCAGCTGATCATTGACACGCCCACAAGCCCCGTGACCAGCGGCCTTCCCCTCTTCTTTGTCATCACCGTCACGGCCATCAAGCAGGTAAGACGCCTGCAGGGGAAAGTGGGACGGCGCCTTCCTGTGACGTGACGTCACCTTGCGTGTAGAGCCGAGCATCCGCGTCATGTCAGCGAGTCACGGGAAATTTAGCTCCGGACGTTCATGTGGGTAACGGTCCCGGACCGACAGCTGAGCTGAAATGAGGCCGTTCGGTGACATAGCAGCTGGGGCGGAGTCCTGGGAGTCTGGGGAGGAAACCAAGGCTTTCAGTTCAGAACCGACCAGAGAGGGAATCTGTTTTTAGGAGAGTTTCTTAGCCTGTCCTCACTCTGGGCTGCCTGAACCGGTAGGACCCGCTGGGCACGGCGTCTGGGCTAGAGCCCCCAAGCGAGCCTGCAGACTGCTGACCCGCTGCACGCCTCGGGCTCGTCTGCCCAGGCCCGGTCACGGATGGTGAGGAGAACGCATCTCAGCCATGCCCGCTGGCTCTCTGGCCATCGTTGCTGTACCTGTCCCCCGTTTCTGGTTCCACAAAACTCCACTCCCCTCAGAAAGAGGCCCCGTACCCATGAGCGGCCCCTGCCGTCCCGCCCAAGCCCCCAGCAGGCGCCGGGCTGCGTCTGTCAGGGCGGCGTCTCCTGCCGTGGGTGCTTGGGGTTCACATTTCCTGGGTGACGGACGATGCTGGATCTTTCCCGGGCTTACTGGCCATTGGGTGTTTCTTCAGAGACGTGTCACCAGATCCTGCGTCCATCTTAAAATTGTTTTTTTGTTTTTTTTTGATGAGTTACAAGAACTCGTCACATGTTCCGGAAACCAGTGCCTTACGTGCAACCGACTTGAGCATCACGATGTTTGTGTTTCCGGGTTGATAGGTCGACCTTTGATTTGGGACCTTGGATCATTCGTAAAACAACAGCTTCTACTGAAATTGTTGATGGTCCAGTTCTTGCTGACAAAGCCCTGCTTTTCTGGTGTTAGTCTTTGAGTAAGAATAAAGGAAACGAAACACATTTTACGCGAGAACGGCCGCTGGATGCCGGTGGTCTGTCAAAGCACAGAGCGATTTTCTCTAGATCGAGGAAGAATGGAGAGGGGCCCCGGCCGCTGTGTGGTGTGTGTGCAGGGAGCACCTCCGGCTGCCCCTGCCGGCCACACCCAGCTTCAGCCCCCACGGGTGTGCACGAGCGCTGCCCTACCGGAGCGTTAGGGATGTCTTTGTCCCAGTTTGGGCTTTCTGTCTCCTTCACCACGGATCTGGAAAGACAGGTTTGGACAAAATGATTTGACTTCTTACCCATTAGCTTGGCTTTTAAATGTAGAAGCCCAAAGGGCAGCGGGGAGGACCCTGTGGCTGGTAGCTGCGCTGCTGTGCACGGGAGCGCAGGGCCCCCATCTTGGGAAACCGTTGGCGGCGACCACCGGAGTGGAGGCCACGAACGCGGTTGGTGTGTGTCATGCACATCCCAGAACAGGCCACGGTGGCCCGGCGAGGCGTCCTGGGACTCTCCGCGCCAGCCTCTCTGGGGCAGGTCGTGCCGCAGTGTGGCCACGGGCGGCACGTTTGTTGTGTGGGGGGCGGGGGGCGGTGCAGTGACTCGAGGGCGAGCCCCGCTGTGCGGACACGGCATGCAGAGTGACGGCAGATACCTGCTATGTCGTCCTCACGCGTTTGTAGACTCTCGCCTGTGACACGCACATGTCGTAAACGTGTGAAACCGTGAACAGGAAGGAGTCTTTTCAGGAGGACGAGCGAGAAGGGGACGGGGAGCGGGATGGAGGGTTAGTGCGGGTCATCCATAAAGATCCCCAAGAGACGGGCACAGTGGAGTCGGGTGTTTCCGTTTGTTGTCTGTGTGTTTCGGAAGAACGACCCTCCTCCTCCCCGAGAGGCTGGCGTACAGCGCCACGGGCGGGCCTCAGCAGGAGCGAGTGTCAGACGCGGGGGGAGGTGCCCCGAGGGCCTGTGGGGTCTGCCCGCCCCTGAGCCGCCTCGCCCCATTCCTGGGGGTACCCGGCTTCCAGCCCTCACCTGCTCCGTGCATCTCTCTTCCTCACCTGCCCAGCTCCTGCCCTGGCCGACTCGGAGCCCCTCTGTCCTCCCCACCTCAGCCCTGGTTCCCTGGTGGCCACGGCCCACACATCCAGGGGCTCTGATGCCCTTCTTTGAGGCTCCGGAAGCCCCCGCAGGGGGCCTGGCACCTGCTAGTCCCGCCTGCATGCTGACCAGCCTCTGACTAGCCTCTGACCCTCTCTGTCCACATCTCCTGACTTCAGTGAGGTGGGCAGTGGCCAGAGCCGCCCCGGCCGCCCACCTGCCTTTCCCGCCCGGCTTCTTGAAGCTGTGCCGTCTTCAACCCTCCAGGCCGGCCTGGCCCTGTGACCCCATGTCTGACCCTGCCGCCCCTCCTGCTGTTTCCCGTGGTATCACCTCCTCCCTTCCAGGCAAGCGCCAAGCGTCCGTTGGGGCCGGCTCAGACCCTCCTCTCTGAGCCCCCCCGCACACACATTGGCACACGTGCACTGGGTCAGGGAACAGGTGCGACTCGGGCCTGGGCCTGCAGGAAGAGGAACGGGAGGCCCCCACCCCGGTCCTCCCACCTGAGTGAGCTCCGCCAGGCCACTGACGGGGAGTGGCTGGAGGTGGTCGCATGCCGCGGACTCGGGCTCAGACAGTAGACCCGTGTCCTGTAGGAGAACGTTCAGAAGTCCCACAGCAAATGGGGGAAGTGGGGCTCCCAGGGGCCTCGGGGCTTATGTGTCCACATTACTGCAGGCCCGAGACACAGTGGCCAACCGTCTAGAGGCTAGAAGGGCGGCACGGCGGCTGGGGCCCTGAAGAAGTGGGGAGATTGGGGTCCGTTTAAGGAGGAGATACAGGACTCGGGGGTTGGTGGGTGTTGGGTGTGGGAAAGGCACCTTCCGGCTTTCCCAGAGCTTTGTGCATCCCCGGGCTGAGGCCGGAGGTGTGGTGCCATGGCCGCGGCCCACCCGGCACGTCCAAGGCGGTGGGCTCAGGGCCCAGGGACCCCCACGGCCTTCGGCTCCCCCCAGCGGGCATCTCCTCTCCCCCCAGGGCTATGAGGACTGGCTTCGCCATAAGGCAGACAACGCCATGAACCAGTGCCCTGTGCATTTCATCCAGCACGGCAAGCTGGTGCGGAAGCAGAGCCGGAAGCTGAGGGTAAGCCGCGGGCGCGTCCTTGACCCAGCCCGGGAACAGCGGGCACCCAGAGGGCCTTGCTCAGACCTGTGCCCGGAGTTGCTTCTCTCCAGCACAGGCTGCCCGCGCCCCACACCCTTCCCCTGAAGCCCCGCCTGCCTGTTTGCCGAATTTCCATTTTTCCTCGGAGCCGCACCCAGCGCTCTTGGACCAGTCGGTGTCGCAGACCCACAGGGTGCGAATTGCTCCCACCAGTCCCGACAGAGGAGGCTCCAGGACGCTGTTAGAAACCTTGTTCTAGAACACGGAGATTGGGAACCGAAACCCCCTGAAGGCTGTGTGTTCCCGGTTTGGGGGAGCCGTGCCGGACTGACGGGCAGCATCTGCGTGGGCGTTGTCTACATCACTCACGTGGATGGTTTTCACACCCGCACGAGTGGGCGGGGCACCCCGCGGGCACGGGCCAGCATGGGGTCCCTAAGGCTTGTCCCTGAGGAGTTAGTGTGAGCCCCGGGACGGAGCCGGCTGGGCCTTCCACCGCCTCCTTGCGCCCACCTGCGTCTCATCTCTGAAGCCCCCATCCCCCATCCTATGCCCATCACCCATCCCGTGCCCATCCCCCACCCTGTGCCCATCCTTCATCCCATCCCTTCCCACTCCCCTCCCCTCCCCCACGCCCTCCTGCTCCTCCCATCCCCCTTCCTAGCCCCATCCCTCTCCCTAGCCCCATCCCCCTCCCCACTCTCATCCCCCCATCCTCCGACCCTGTGCACACTCTCCGCTCCTCCTCTCTCCCCATCCCTCCCCACTTCCACCCAACCCAAGACCCACCCGAAGGCCTGCTCCTGTGTCGCCAGCGGACGGGCCGTCTCAGTGAACCTGTTCCGACACGTGTCATACACACTATCATGTACATTTTTTAAGATTTTAAGCAACATTTTTTTTTTAAGATTTTATTTATTTATTTGACAGACAGAGATCACAAGTAGGCAGAGAGGCAGGCAGAGAGAGAGGAGGAAGCAGGCTTCCCGCCGAGCAGAGAGTCTGATGCGGGGCTCGAACCCAGGACCCTGGGATCATGACCTAAGCTGAAGGCAGAGGCTTTAACCCACTGAGCCACCCAGGCGCCCCTTAAGCAACATTTTTTAAAGTTTCTTTTTTTGTTCAAGTACTCTCTGCACCCCGCCTGGGGCGTGAACTCAGCCCAAGATCAAGGGTCTCGTGCTCCACCTGCCACACCCCTGCATCTTCTTGTTCTATAAACATCCCTGTCGCGTGTTTGGGCTTCTACTGAGCTCCCCTCCCTCTGCCTGACGGGTGGTGACTTCCCAGCTGAGCCGGGGTCCAGGGCTGGTGCTGGTACGCCGGCGCACACGCTCACGGGCCTGTCATGCCCTTCCCCTCATTGACTGCGTGTCCTTTGCCGAGCCTCTGTGCTTCCGGTCAGCTGACCTGGAGAGCACCAGCCGGCAGAAAACTGTACTTTTAATGCTCTCCTGTGGGATATGTCTGCTCCGTGGCCGGCCGGCGTGAGACAGGGCCAGGCCCGCGGAGCTGCCCGAGGCCCCTCGAGGAGAGAGTGCCCAGCGGTCACCTCGGGTTCCGTTACCTCCAGGCCGTCGCGGCGTGGACAGAACCGTGCGGGCCGCATCTGGGGTTGGGTCCTCGTTCAGCCGACTCCTCTGCACCCCGCCCCTGGCCCGCACACCTGCTCACACCCGCCCGTCGAAGGAAGTCTCAAGATCGACACCTACCTGCAGGAGTCGTTCCAAGAGTCGAGAACACACAGCCGAACGCGTCCAGCTCGGGCGCGAGGGCTAATCGGGTTATGGGACTTTGCGGTTTGAATACACCGTGAGGCTTCGTGGGCCTAGAGTTGGTCCATGGACACCCCCACCTGGTCTTCCCACAGTTTGGGCAGAAGCCCCGGCGAACAGCCCTTCCCCTTCACACCCACTCATCTCCCTACGGATAAAGAGGCCCCTGCCCCCCGGGGCCGCCACCCAACGCCGTCTGTCTGTCCCGCAGGTTGGGGACATCGTCATGGTCAAGGAGGATGAGACCTTCCCCTGTGACTTGATCTTCCTGTCCAGCAGCCGAGGTGACGGGACCTGCCACGTGACCACTGCCAGCTTAGACGGAGAGTCCAGTCACAAGGTAGGTGCCCTTCCCGGGGCCCCGCAGGGCATCGTGTCAGCTGCACTGTGTGGCTGGCCCCGTGTCACCATGGTGGCCAGCCCAGTGTTCCCGGGGTCACGGAGAAACCCGGGCAGCTGGGCTGACCGCACGGCTCCCCACTCTGCTTATCCCCATATCCCGCTGTTCCCTGTCCCCCGTCAGCATCCACAACCGTCAGCCACTCAGGTTAACTGAGGGGACTTCATGCTCTTAGCTGTGCCACTGAGCGGAGGGCCAGGATACAAGGAGTAGATGGTGGGAATTTGGAAAACTTCATTTTAATGCTCAAGATTAGTGTCTTCGCTAGACTGGGATTATGTGAAAAGGCGCGCAAGAGCGGAGATTTTGAGGCCTGTCGCTCTAACGTGTCCTTTTGTTCAAGAATCTTAAGGATTTCCTGAACTTGCGATTAATTTCTTAGACTCAGAATGGAAGTCTGTACTGCGAGGTGGTACTACGAAACTGTGATTAAGAGTCCAAAGAAGAGAACAACCATGATCTTAAGGATTTCGTTGTTTTTAGGAAAATGGGAGCTTCCAAGGAGTTTAGGAACATGAGCGCGGCTCAGTGGACCCAACCACGTCTGAGGCATTGGCAAATGGCAATTAATGGTGGGATTTCTGTGGTGGGAAAGAGATACTTTCTTTTATGAATAATTCAGATCATCGTATAAGCCCTGTGGGACTTCGGGACAACTTTCCTGTGTGTGCATCCCGAGAGGGCGAACATTCTGGCACGACTGATTATAAACCACAGAGGCTTGGGGGTGCAGAAGCGCCTGGGAGAGTCGGGTGACTGTGGTGTCACGTGTCTGAGTGTGGCAATCACGTTCCCGTGTTCCTGACACCCAGCGAACCACATGGCCCCTGGCTGTTGGCACCCAGCGGCTGCTCACGCCCATCCTGCGGGAGGGACGCCCCAGCATGGCTCATGGGCAGCCGCGGCAGGTCTGGTGGAACCACGGCTCTCCGGACGTGGTGGCCGTTGCCTCATCCAGAGCTGGCGGGCGCCCCTCTGCCCCTTCTATACGACGGGGCTCAGTGTCCTACTTGTGGCTGATGTCACGTCCGCACATCTGACTTGACCTGGGCGCTGGAGTTACTCCTTTGCTTCACAGACCCTGGGGCTCCTGCTCCGGTCACAGTCGTGGCCCCTGTGACCTTGGGCAGGCATTTTTAACCTTTGCAGTTTTCACATCCTGAACTGGGACACACCCTTCTTCCAGGGGCTCTTGGGAGGACATGCCTAGAAGATCTCCCGATGTCCCCGGTGTGCAATGGGCCCCCAGATGTTCAAGGTGTCACAGCTGCTGTCATTTACCTCCCCTGTCCATCCACGGTGCCCTTTCCCTCCCAGCACGTGCTTGCCGGGAGGACGAGAGCACGTGCAGAGCCACGCTGTCCCCACGCGCCCTTGTGCCCGGGCTCCAAGCCCACCTGCTTGCGCTAGTGGTCCCGTTTGGGCCAGTATATCCACTGCCTGGGTCACGTTAGAACCGCCGTCCTTGGGCCCCCAGACCCACCGCCTCGGACACAGGGAGCCAGGCCTTCAGGGCCCTGGGCAAGCGCAGAGGTATTTTCTCCCGGACAATTGCCGGTGGCGCCTTGAGTTTTCATCACTTGCTGATGTGCGTAGACTCTGGTGTGCGCGCAGAGCACACGACTTACGTGTTCGTGGCTGCATTCTCCCGGACACGGCACCGTGGCTCGTTCTCGGGCTTAGTGCCGGGTGCAGCAGGGGACACACGGCGTGGCCAGCGTTGGAGACCCGGCGGCCAGGTGTGCGTCCCTCGCTGGGCTGTGAATGAGACCTGTTGTCGCTCTGCAGACTCACTACGCCGTGCAGGACACGAAGGGCTTTCACACTGAGGAAGACATCGACGGCTTGCACGCCACGATCGAGTGTGAGCAGCCCCAGCCCGACCTGTACAAGTAAGTCCGGTCCGCATTCCCTGTGGTTACGCTCCCTGCCCCCCGGGGGCCAGTCCCGCGGTGCACCGCATCCAGCCCTGCTGTCCGGCGCCGCGCTTGTCGGGAAAGAGCGTGCGTGTCGTTGCTGAAAGGTTAAGACCGAGCCAGGAGTGGACTAGTTGCGTGTGTCACGGTCCAGCGACGTTGAACCTGTAGCTGCTCTTGTGGACACTCGTTAGGCCTGACAGGAGTAAGTTCATTGAAGAGGAGTGACTCTCTGTAACTCGATGAACCGACTTTAAGGAAAATCCTTGGAGTCATGGGCGAATAAGGACAGAAAATAAATGAAGGAAGTGGGGGAAGCCAGCGAGCTTTTGGCAAAGCTCGCAGCCCTCGGTGGCTCGGGCTTCTGTCCCAGAGGAAGCAGACGGGTGGACGGCAGGCGCCCGGCCCCTCCCCCCCAGCCGCGCGGCCCTGACCTGACTTCTCTGTCATCAGGTTCGTCGGCCGCATCAACGTCTACAGCGACCGGAGCGACCCCATGGTGAGGTGAGGGGCTGTGCCGTCAGGTTACCGTGAGCTCTTCTCTTCGCCGTCGGACGCTTCACTCTCGACGCTGTGTTGCATTTGGAAACAGAATTCTGCTTTTCCAAAGGCCCGGGTCCCACCGTCTTCTCTGTTCTGGTGGGAGTGTCGCCCTCCGTGCCAGCGGCTGACGGCACTCTTGGGGACGTGGTCTCATGGTGTTAGGAGCTCGTCTGACTGCAAGGTGCTACCCGAGCAGGGCCCTTGCATCTCCACAGACCAGTGTGTCTTCAACCATAAAGCTGGGCCGTTGCTGCCCTGAGGCCGTGTCTCCTCAAGATCCTTGAGGGACACTGTTTTGGCCCCAGATTCTGTCTGGACTTAAGGGGACGGGTCTCCTCTGGGGACCGTGTAGGTGGGAGTTGTGTGTGGTCACCTGCTTCATCGGAGTGGTCTGGGATCGGTCACGCCCACGGGTTGTGGGCGAGGACCCGCACCTACCAGGTGCGCAGTGCCCGGGACCTGCCGGCGGCCGGACACGTGTGTCTCTCATCGGCGCTGGCCGTCCTGTGGGGTGTCGTCTGTGCATCGTGTCCGGGTCTAGTGGGTCCTGGCTGTCGAGGTAACGGAGGTGGACGGTGTAGGACGTTGGTTTGGAGTAGGATCTGGAGCCGACCTTTTCTGTAGCCCCTGCGTCTCCCATGTGGGAGAGACATTCTTCTGTCCACTTACGTGGCCTCCAGGTGGTCAGCATCCTGGTGTGACCTTGTGTGTCTAGGAGAACAGTTGCCCAGAAGTAGAAATCATCTCAGTGGGAAATCGATGGTAATCAGTGTGAGATCCCGGGGCCCCTCTTGAAACTGTGTCACAGAAATGGTTTGTGCGTGTCCTGAGTCACAGCCATCGTCTGTCCGCATGTTCGCGGTACCTCCGAGGGGCTGTGGTCGTCCCAAAACAGACGCTAGTCTATAGGACGCTCCTAGTGTCTGTTCAGAAACAACCCGCACTTCTGTGTCCCGTGAGAAGCACTGTTGGAAGGATCGGGATTTATTGGGATTAGAAAGGATTGGAAAGCTTGGGATTTATTCACCTTGTCGCTGGGATGGATCAGGAGTAACTCCCGGCTCCCCCTGCCTCATGTTCAGGTGACGATTCATGCTGAGCACGTGGGGAGCCCGTGGCTAACACAGCTCATGGGCTGGAGCTAATTCTTGTTTTACTCTTTAAGGACGTACACTGTTCGGCCGACTTTTTTACCGTTTGGGTGTTGCAGGTGCTCGTAAACTCATGGTGTGAACGGGGGTGACTTGTATCTCCCAGTTCCTCATGTCCTCGCAGTCCTGTCCAACTAGAAGCAGGGTACTTCTTAAAGTAAATTGTGTTTCACTTCCCAGACATGGTTTATAAAAAGGCCATTTGCTTTCGTGAGACGGTCCACAGGCATCGTGAGCATGCCGCTTGCGGAGGCTGACGGTCCTCGAGGGGACCCAGCAGGGCGTGTGCGGCCCTGGGAGCGTCCGTGGCAGTCAGGTCCAGCACGAGGGCTGGGACCATGCAGCCGCCCTGGGCCGATGCGTCCGGTCAGGTGTCCCCCAGGAAACAGTCTCCTGCCCTCGTCCTCGGGGAGGCGGCCCCGAGCGGCGTCGTCTAACTCAACGGCCGCCCCCGAGTCTGTGGCGTTCACAGGCCCCAGTGCTCTGTGGCACGGGAGAATCGAGAGCACATGTCCCTGTGCACTGCAGACACAGTCCGTGCAACACTGACGGCACCAGCGTCCGTGGAGTTGTGTTCTGCTTCCCGCTCTTGTCCGCTCTTGGGAAATGAGCAACGAGGAAATGGGGGGGAGCCCAGGGAACACGAACCCCCAGAGGCAGAGACGTGCTCTGTTGCTCACGGCCAAGTCTTGTGCGCTTGGGGCCAGCATGTTCTTCGTGGCTGATCCTAACTTCCTTCGTTGTTTCCTGCTGAGGTAGCAGGGCAGGGAGCGTCCAGATTTGGGGGCCGCCTGCACGCACGGGGTCCTCGTGGGTTGGACAGCCGTGGGGGGGGAGCACACGGTGTTCCTGTGTTTGAAAGTAAGACCGGATCCCGCCGACTCGTGGAGTCTCCCCAAGGATGTGGTAGAAACAGCTGAAGCCTCTCGAGTCTTCTCGGAAACGGGGCCCGTCTGTCGGTCTGCGTGGGCTGACGCGGCCCCTCAAGGGGGCGGGCCCCGTGAAGGGCCACCCACCAGGTCCTTCCGCAGAGCGGGTCTTCCCTCCCAGGGCGGAGGCCACGCTCTCCCACGGAGTCGGCCAGCTTCTGTGATCCAAGTGGAAGCTACTCCACGCTTACACGGTTTCCTCTTGAAACCAAGTCTGTCAGGCCCAGGCCTCGATTCCCACCTGGAGCACCTTCTTCTGTCCGCCCCCCGGCCCCACTCTGGTCCTCCTGTCTTTGCAGGCCCCTGGGGTCGGAGAACCTGCTTCTCAGGGGAGCCACGCTGAAGAACACCGAGAAGGTCTTCGGTGAGTGTCTGTGAGTCGCCCCCAGCAGCTTCTGAAGCTCAGGGCAGTTAAATCAAGCGGGCGCAGCTGTCGCGCAGCCGTGGCGCGTCCGTCCGCACCGTGCGGCGGGCTCCGTGGCAGTGGACAGCAGCCTGAGGACACCCGTCCCGGCGCGTCGCCCCCGCCCACGCGGCCGTGGTGTCGGACGGTCGCTTGCGTGTTGAGCATCTGGGGTTTCTGAGTGGGAAGCACAAGTTCCCGTCCATAGGAGAATGCACACGCCGCCGTTCTGCAGGTTTCCGCGAACGACTGCGCTTCTCCGGCGGTCTCTCCCCGCCCTGAGCGGTGCTCTTGTTTTTTAAGGGAGGCAACTTAAAAATGTGCGCGTGTGCCCAGTTTCAGAAAACCCAACGTGGTACAGTCTGACCTCCAGGAAAAAGCAGAGACCGATCTCTGCAGGAACGGAAAGTTCTTTTTAGTCTGAGGATCCCGAGCAGCCTGTCTGCCTGAGAAGCGCTGTGTGGCGTGCGCGGTCCGTTCTGCTGCCGCCGTGCGCGGCTGCTCTGACACGGACTCTCCTGCCTTTCAGGTGTTGCCATTTACACGGGCATGGAAACCAAGATGGCGCTGAATTACCAGTCGAAATCCCAGAAACGATCTGCTGTAGAGAAGTGAGTCTCGGGGCGCAGAGCCCCAGGCCCCAAAACCGTCATGCGCCCCCCGAGACACGACAGCTTTTCCCTTTGGCGTCTTTAGTAATTCCGTCCTGGTCTCCAGGGGGCTGGTGGTGCGGGGTACTTATGTAGACAGTCCTGATCTGCAGGGGCGCACGTGACCCCATGCCTTCAGTCCACATCTGCAGGCCCCTCGTGTGGACGCTGAAGTCCTGGCCACTCCTCTCGCCGGTGCACGAAAATGTCAGAATTGGGTCACTTTCAGCTTTTCCCAAGGAAAGCGTGAGCAGAGCAAACAGTGCTTTTCCTGGAATGGTGAAATCCTGACGATAAGTCAAGTATAGAGTTACAGTCGTGAGACCACACGGCCCAGAATTTTGTCGTCTTTGCCTTTTGTTCACGTGGGTCCCTGCCTCGAAGTGGTTATGACTATTTAATACGGAGCTTGTGGGGCCTAGGATCTTTGCGAGGACCACAAGGGGGTCTCTGCCTGCCCTCGGCAAGGTGGTCTCAACGGTACCCTGGGTCTGTCTGTCCATGGGTGTCTGTCCCGACGTGAAAACGGAGATTTGGCTCTCAGTAAGCAAGAATGCTTTGTTGCCAGCGTCTGCCCCGATGAATGGCTTCCAGAAACGGACGCTGGGAGACAAGCCTCTTCACTGAGACACTGGGCAGGGGCTCTGTGTTTTCCAGTTCCGAGGACATCTCCCTGCCTCCTTCCCTGGTGGCGATCTCTCCGTTTGTCACTCCCTGGTTGGCACTTTGTGGCAGAAGACTGGACTTCCAGATATCCTGATCTTAGACCCCCAGGCCACGCAGCCCACGGCGTGGCCGCGAGCACCGCTCTCTCCTGTTTTCGGAACTTTCCTGTGGCCCCTGGAGTCACATGCCTGTGGTCACAGGAGGGACTCCCGACGACTGGGGGCTTCTGTTCTCATTCTCACCGTGCCGGCGGGTGGGGGGCTCCTCTCCATCACAGTGCTCCATGTCTTCGTGGCCCCGTTGTCCTGACGCGTGAGAAAGGCTCCTCAGCCCGCGGTCACCAGGTGTCGTTGCTGTCTTGTGTTTTAGATCCATGAACGTGTTCCTCATCGTCTACCTCTGCATTCTGATCAGCAAAGCACTGATCAACACCGTCCTCAAGTACGTGTGGCAGAGCGAGCCATTCCGAGACGAGCCGTGGTATAACCAGAAGACCGAGTCGGAAAGACAGAGGAACCTGGTACGGAGCGCGCCCCCTTGGCAGTGATCAGACACCCCGTGGGCTGCTGTCACGAGAATGCGGCAGGCGAGCGCCTAGTCTCGATGGCCGTCTCTGTCACGGAGACCTAGAAGGCGTACCCGTCACCTCCCTGCCGTGGGCACGGGGGCCCCCGTCTCACTTGGGTGTTTGAGGGTACAGTCTGGACAGGGGTCGGCTGCCACGGTAAACTCATGAGGGCAGCGGCATGAGCCCCCAGCGCAGGGTCCCGTCCTCAGAGCGTGGACGCATTTATGAATGGCCCTGCAGCCCGGGCGGGACTCGGGGCTGCCGGCGAGGTGGGCGCGGGGCTCACGCAGCGCTCTCAGCTCCTCAGGGCGCTCACCGACTTCCTGGCCTTCATGGTTCTCTTCAACTACATCATCCCCGTGTCCATGTACGTCACGGTGGAGATGCAGAAGTTCCTGGGCTCCTACTTCATCACTTGGGACGAGGAGATGTTTGACGAGGACACAGGGGAAGGGCCTGTGGTCAACACGTCGGATTTAAATGAAGAATTAGGACAGGTCAGTACCCGCGGCACCCCCACCCCTGATTGGCGGGCGATCGCGTCCCTCTGCGTTCCGTTCCCAGGCACCCGGGCCCTGTGTAATCTCGGCACAGTCTCAGGTGGCCCAGGGGAAAGGCTTCCCCTTTAAGTCATTCCCAGAGACGCATCCCACGACTCCCAGAACACAGCGTGACGCGACGTTGGCCTTTCACGCTTTACGTGACAGTTGACGGTGTTTGCTATGTACGACTTACGCACAGTTAGCCGTGCTCGCTGGTTGCTGGAAGCTCCCCGTGGCCTGGGTGAGCTCCTTCTGGGCATTAATGCTGGAAGTTTGGGGAGTCCCTGCCCTGCTGGCGCTGCACTCAGCTATTACACCTGCTTTCCTTCCCTGAGCTCAGAGTAAGCCGTTTTCCTCCACTTAAAGACACGTCCAGGGGACCTCATGGCTTGGCGTGTTGCAGGCTTCAGATTCCCACCCACAGCCCCGCTGTTTGCCGACGGTGGTGGCCGAGCTCTCGGCATTGGAACGCCTGGATCTGTACGGGGGCCGCGGCTCCATACACCCGTCCCACCAGAGCGCCATGCTAAATTTGACGTTGGGGCCACGGTGTCTGCTGCGGTGTGTGCCGCAGCCCCCACGGGGCGAGAGGGCCGCCAGGGCTGCCTGGGTGAGGGGCAGAGCCTTGCACGCCCGTCCGTGAGACCCAGACCATAGCTCCTTCTTCCTCGGGACACAGCTCTGGAAAGGCCCATCTGCTGGCCCGACACTTCCCTGCCTTTATGTTGTAGGAAAAGCATTTGGTAAACAGTAGTTCACTCATTTTTGTAAAAATTAAAAAACAAAGTAAGAAATTTGGGGGAGTAGTTTTGCAAACAGGCCGTTTTAAAGATTTTATTTGGGAGAATGAGCGCATGGCGGGTAGAGGGGCAGAGGGAGAGAATCTCCAGCAGATGCCTCGCTGAGCACGGAGCCCGACGTGGGGCCCGACCTTACAACCTTGAGGTCAGATGTTTATCCGACAGCACCACCAGGCGCCCGCCAACAGGGCCGTGTCAGGCTGTGGCCTCCAAGCTCTGCCCCCACAAGGCCCCTGAGGCCTTCTGGGAATGGACGCAGAGACTCAGCTGGGGACCCACTGCCTTCACCCCGCTGGGTCCTGGGTACTTGTTCCCGAGAGGTAACATGCTTACGGATGAGCCCGGGTTTCCAGGCGACTGTCCTGCTGCGGCCACGGGCTGGTCTGGTCCCAGACAGGCGCACGGAAACCCCGACTCGGCCACCTGGTGCCAGAATAGCTTTAGGTCTGCGTGTGTCGCGTTGTGTCTGTGCACGGTCCCTGCCGTGTGTTCCCACGGCATTCCCCGAGGAAAGCCCCTTCTGTAACAAGAAGCGTGGAGCGGTGCTCGGCACAGGAGTCTATGTGACAAATTACCGTGGGAGGATTGTGGACAGTGTTTCAGAGGACAGGGCCTCCAGGGGCGCCTGGGTGGCTCAGTGGGTTAAGCCGCTGCCTTCGGCTCAGGTCAGGATCTCAGGGTCCCGGGATTGCGTCCCACATCGGGCTCCCTGCTTCGCGGGGAGTCTGCTTCTCGCTCTGCCCTTCGCCACACTCTTGTTCTCTCTCCCTCAAATAAATAAGTAAAATCTTTTTTAAAAAAAAGTAGAAGACGGCTTCACGAGACGCTCGTTGTCATTGCCGCTTTGGGGAAGGGGTCGGGGACGGGCCGCACCGCCACCCTGCTGGGGACCGTCGCCCGCGGGCCGCCTTCCTGCTCCTTGCTGTCCGGAGCACAGGGAGGGGCTAGCGGCGTCGGGCGGCAGGGTCGGCCCCCACGGCCGGCTTGCAGAACCCGGCACGAAGGGAAAAGGCTTTTTGGCGGAGGGGCAAGACGGAAGAGAACGGTTTGCAGAGACCACGTGAGGAAGCAGACGGTGAGACACTTGGCCACGCGTTACTGTGTCTTGTCCGCGCCGCCTTCCTGCACGTTAGGCCTCTCCCACACTGCCTCCCACGTGTGTCGGGGCAGCAGGCAGGTCTCAGCCGGCGGGTACGTCCCGTGCCATCATCTGGAATTCTGTTGTTCCTGATGAACACGTAACCGGAATGGATGTGCGTGGAGGGTTAACGCTGGGTATGGTTTCCCATCGGAAATCTGTTCTGCCCTTTTGCTGGGGTTCTGGCTTCTGTGTTCTCAGTGGTACTGTGGGCTGTGACCTCCCAGACCTTGCCGAGGAAGTGTGGGTCCGTCCTCCCCGCATCCTTGACTTTTTCACTAGAGAAGCTTTAAGACCCCCGTCCCGAGTCTGTCTTTCCGAGAGGGAACGGAGCCCCATCTTCTGGGGAACGGGAAGGCCTCGCGTGTCCGTCCTGCGCAGCTGGGCCGGGGCTGCTGCACCGGCAGAGGCTGGAGGAGGCTGGCGAGCCGGCCACGTGCGGTGCCCCCGGCGGTGCGGGCGGCCGTCAGAAGAGGCCCCTTCCTGCAAGGAACGTGACGTCAGGAAGCAAGGCCACACCAGGGCCTGAGTCCGCGCTGGCCCCTTCTTCCCCGAGAAGGTCGCAGCCCCGCCAGCCCACGCAGCTGCGCCGTGTGTCCGCAGGTCGAGTACATCTTCACGGACAAAACCGGCACGCTCACGGAGAACAACATGGAGTTCAAGGAGTGCTGCATCGAGGGCCACGTGTACGTGCCGCATGCCATCTGCAACGGGCAGGTGCTCCCCGGGGCCGCCGGCATCGACATGATCGACTCCTCGCCGGGTGTCAGCACCAGGGTAGGTGGCCACGCCCCCTGCACCTGTGTTCCCTGGGCGTTCCCTGCTGCGCCGCCCTGGGTCCCCGAGCACAAGGCCGACTGGCACCACCCCATGTCCCTGGGTCCCTCGCGGCTTCCGTCGGGAATGTGGGACGCCACCCTTTCCTGCCATGAGTCCACAGTCGCGGCTGTGCGAGAAGCCCCTGTATCACAGGGAAGGCAGGGCACGTGGTGGGCCGAGAGCCAAGTGGCTGTGCACACCACATGGCTGTGCTCACATGCGTGTGCACACTGAGGCTCGAGCACGTGTTGAGGCACACGCATGCCCACGCGTGCACACACAGACGTGCCTCCACTCATGTATTTCATAGTGACACACGTGCTCTCGTCCTGCACGTGGGTACACATGCCACACGCGTGTGCACACACATGCATGGAGACACGTGCCCGTGCATGGGCACACACAGCCAAGTGCCGTGGTTCCAGACGTCCGCATCTCGGGGAGGTTCTGTGACCCCCCTCCCCGTGGTCACATGGTCAGTGAGGAGACCATTCCGGAAAGTTTGTGGCCGCAGAGCCCTGTGCAGGGTTCCCTGGAAACTGAGGACAGCTCGCCTTAGTGGGCGGTGCACTGGCAGCCTCTGGCGACCGAGTGCACCTTACCCCCAGCCTGCCTCACAGTTTCCACGTGGAAACCGCTCTCCATGGCAGAGTGTCTCAGAGGGAGCCCCGTGGTCTGTGGCCCAGCCGGATCTCAGCCACACTGCAGGGCCCCTGGGAAGGCGGTCAAGGGTCCCCCCAGGGCATCCTCATTCCCAGATGCTGCGTTCACCTCCTCTGACCTTGACCCAGGGTCCTCACCTCCCTACTCAGAAGTGCTGGAGGACGGCGAGAAGCCACACTTCCAGTCCTCGCCTGGGCCCCAGAGATGAGACTCGCTCCTGGCTCCTGCCCCCCAGCAGTGGCACATGTCGCCTTGTCGTCCTGTCTTTAGCGTAGTCTCTGTGCACGACAAGCCGACGGGGCGTAGATCTGTGGGGTTGTGCTGTGCTTTCACAGGAGCGAGAGGAGCTGTTTTTCCGGGCCCTGTGTCTGTGCCATACCATCCAGGTGAAGGATAACGATGACATGGACGGACCTAGGAAGTCGCCGGACGGGGGGAAGTCCTGTGTGTACATCTCGTCTTCTCCCGACGAGGTGGCGCTCGTGGAGGGCATCCAGAGGTACATCTCTGGGCGGGCCTGGCAGGTGGGGGCTCGTCCCGGAGTGTCCGGAGGCCACTGCTGTGCCGGGAGGCTTGCTGTGGGGTGGGTGGGCCGGCGGAGCTCCTGTGCTGGTGGACAGCGTCCCTCCGCACGCAGCCCACCACCCGCGTGACCAGCCGCCGTTTCTGCTGCCGGACTCTGTCACTGCTGCGCTACTTCCCCTAATTCTGTCTGGGTGTCCCGTTCGATGCTCTGCCGTCCTCCCCACGGTGACGTCCGGCTGGCTGCGTCCCGGTGGTGGCGGTTGGTATTCCGGCCTGACTGGTGTTCCGCGCCTCGTTGCGGCACCAGCATGTCTCTGGTGTCCGCTGAGCCTGTTCGAGGCCGGCTCGCGTTCCCAGGACGGCCGCTCCGGGTTCTTGTTGGGACGCGTGGCTCACGTGTGTTCGGAGTAAAGCCCTGGCTGTGGGTTCTCTTCCTCGCGTCTTAAACGGTGGCTCCCCCGACTCCTGCAAAGGTGCAAGCAGTGTTCCCCGCGCTCTGCGGCAGGCCTTCCTGGTCCGTCGTAACGAGTGCGCCGAACGCACTGTGCGTCAGATGTTAGGACGGACCGTTCCGCCAGCCACGGCGCGCTCCCCCCGGAAGGCTGCCAGCTCGTGCTGGGCCGAGTGGACACCCTTCCCCACGGTCCGTGGCCCCCTTGCATCGCCGTGGCCTCGTCCCCGTCTCTGAGCTCCTGGCGTCCAGAAGCCACCCGTGCTGTGTCTGCACCGCGGCATCTGGCATGTGGGCAGCGCTCGGGTGTGCTGGTGGAGGACGGGCTGTTACGTGGTCCCTGCTCCACGGATGCCTGCTGGCCGACTGCTGGCTTTGGAGCGCGGTCCCTCTTTGGGAAAATGAGAGGGTCGTCCCGGAGGCTGACAGTCTCTCAGGATCCTTGTAAGTGTGACGTGGCCGCGGGGCTGAACAGCCCCACTGCTCAGGAAGCCAGACATGGCCCCTGGGGACGGGCCAGTCCCCACACCCGCCCTTGTCCTGGAGCACGCTGGTGCTTAACCAGCCCGAGGGCAGAGTTGGTCGCAGTTCTGGTGGCTCTCGGAGCGCGTCTCGAGCGGTGATAGATGACCCGTTGCCTCCGTCTGCCCCAGTCACAGCCTCTGTCTTACCAGAAGAGCTTCTTTCTGACGAGGAAGCTTTCCCCGACTTGAGTAACGCGTGGGGGAGAGCGTCCGAGCCGGGGATTAAGCTCCGACCGCCTTCCACCTGCAGGCTGGGCTTCACGTACCTGCGGCTGAGGGACGGCTACATGGAGATCTTGAACAGGGAGAACGACGTGGAGAGGTGAGCGCGGTGCACGATTGTGAGCCCGCGGTCTTGGCAGGGGCCCACGTTCCCTGTCCCGCCCCATGCTGGCCTCCCCTTCCGCTCACGGCGGCCCCGGACCGTCGCCCACGGGCCGGTCGGTCAGAGTGGAGGCTGCAGAGCGTGTGCCGGGAGCCGTCCCAGATGAGGCTCCCTGGGAGTCCCCGCGGCGTGTGGGGTCTGACCCGAGTGGCCGCACGACGCCGGGTTCCCGGGTCGCAGGACACCCCACACAGGGTCCGAGCGAGGGCGCGCGGGATGCTCGTGGTTCCCGTTTTGTCTCCAGGCACCACACGTGTTCAGTGTTGGTGACCGGGTCCATCAGGGAGGGCTGGTCCCACACACGGAGGGCGCATCTCGAGCTCGACTTGGAGCTCCGCCACCTCTACAAATAAACCTGCGATAACGGGTCCAGGCAGAAACGGGGCAGAGGACGTAAGGCTTGGCGGTTGTGGCCTCAGAGACCCCTGGATTTTAACGTTTCCTTAAGAAGCATAAGCTCCCACGCTGGCAGGGTGGTGAGCCCCTGACCACAGCAGCTGCCGGTCCTCAGTGGGCCCAGTGGGCTTGTCCCCAGGGTGCTGGTGGCCGTGGGAGCTACACGACCACCTGCGGAGGGCAGAGGCTCGCCCACCGTGGGGCTCCCGGCTCCCAGCTGGGGTCTGTGGGCCGCGGGAGCTTCTGGAGGCGTCTGTCCAGGGCGGCTGAACTGCTTTTGGTGTTTCAGGCGTCGGCAGGAATCATGGGCCGCTGATCACGACTGCACAAGCCGACCACATGTTGGTTTTGTTTTTAAATGGTTTTTACGAACTCCAAGGACGCCGGTGTAGCTCAGATACGGCCCATGTGTTTAGAACTCAGGGGGGTGAGCCTGTACTTTGTGTGCTGGACAGACATCCAGGGCACCTTGGGCTGGGGGTGAGCCCATGGGAGCTGGCCTCGGCCTCCCCTCCTCGCAGCTGCCAGGGGCCCAGTGCCCGCCTTGTGGATCCCGAGGGCACGGGCAGGCGGGCAGACAGGCCACAGGACGCCCCAGGTGCTGTGCCGCAGGAAGTGCCATGCTAACCCAGATTCTGGGACTGCGAGAGCCGGAGAGGGAGTAAAAGCGATTTGTGATCTCTTTTTTAGGTTTGAACTGCTGGAAATTTTGAGTTTTGACTCAGTAAGAAGGAGAATGAGCGTGATTGTGAAATCTGTCACAGGTAGGAATGCCTTTTTCTTCGAGTTTTTGAATTACATGTTGTGGCGGTTTTATTTTCGTGCTCACCTGTGTAGGAGCTGTAGGACCTAACCGGTTGTTCTCTCTCAAAACACACGAGGTGAGCAGGTCATGGGGCCCCTCGGCTTCGCGGGCGCAGGTGCGGGTCACAGGGCTCCTGGGCTTTGTACCTGGCACAGGTGCAGCCCCCGTGGGTCCCGCGTGACTGGCAGGACGTGCAGGGTCTTCCATCCCTCCCTGCGGCGGCCACACACGGCAGTCTGACGCCGCCCACCTGCAGCCTTCCGGGCTCTTGCCACCGCGTCCATCCTGAAGACCCTGCCAGGCCCTGAGGCACCTGCTGTGCCCAGCAGACGCTTCTCCAAAGCTGAGCACCGACCCCCTGAGCTGCTTCCCTGATCCTACTCAGGCCAACCCCGTGTGCCTCGTTCCCCCCGGAGGCCCTCTTGCCGGTGGGACGTTTCCAGGGTGGGCGGCGCGCCACGCAGCTTGTGGGGCGCCTCCTTGCTTGCCGCGGTCGGGTGAGCTGTCCTGGCCCGGGCCGGGAGCACCCGAGGACAGAGCCGGCTGCCTCTCGCGGGCTCCCCGCCGCGCTGCTCCGCTCAGTTGAAGGCACCCGCAGTTGCGGAGCGGCCTCTTAGTAGACACTGTGGGATCTCGGCACTTCTTAAAGCTGGGCGCCGCCAGGCTGTGTCCGTGTCTTTGGAAAGTCCCTGGTAAGCGGGCAGAGGCAGCCACTGCCCTGAGCGCGGACGGACCCTGAGCCGGCGAGGGAGCGGGAGGCACGTTGGGGAATTCTGGGTCAGCCAGTGTCGCTTCTCGCACAGGAGGCACAGGCGGCCGATGGCCTCAAGCAGGACCCTGGTGACGCTGCTCTGGGGGCACCTGCCACAGCTCGCCTTACTCCTCAGGCCGCAGAGGACAGTGTGAGGTGGCCAGGGCGTGTCGTTGGGCAGAACCCTGTGACTCACTTCCCGGGGCGCCGGACGAGCCTGGGCAAGGCACGTGGCAGCTCTGGGCGCGGTCCCTGCGTGGTCCCCGCACCCCTGAGCCTGGCGGTGCCATGGCACCCTGGCGCAGCTCAGCCAGGGAGACTTGTGCCAAGCATCTGGGGATGTAACATGGTGTCAGTGCTGCTGGAATGTGGGGAGACAGTCTTCCGCGCGGGCCAGCAGGTCGTGGGAGAGTCCCGTAACTGAAGGACACGGTCTGGTGTGCAGGCACGGTCGAAGCCCCGCAGTGGCCTGGGAGGAGGGCATCGGGTGGGAACCGGATGTCACTGGTCCTTTGCCCTGTGGGTTCCCTGCGGGGACGGATGCAGATGTGCCGTCTGGCCGCTGAGTTGCGTCTGGGAGACGGTTCCTGGTCGCAGGCCTGACCGCACCGCAGGGAGTGAGGCAGCGTTACTCACCGAGCCCCGCCCCCTCCATGCTTCCTTGGGGGGCTGGGTGTGGGACCCTCGGAGACTCCTGCCACCTTCCCGCAGGAGGGCACCGCGGAGCTCCAGGAGGAGTCATGTCACGGCAGTCAGTCCAGGCCCGGGACCCCCTTCCATGGGGAGACGTCCGCCCGCTCCTGGGGGTCCCCTGCAGATCTGCAGGCTTCCCGGGACAGACCGCGCGGCATCTCAACCAACCACGGCACCAATTAACTTCAGGAGAAGTTTGAATAATGGATTAAGCAGGTTGTTCTTTGCGTAGTAACGGATCCCCAGAGGTGAGGCTCATGGTTCTGGTTTTCCAGCCTGACGGATGCGGGAGACCACGAGCCCCTGTGGCCAGGGAGAGCGCGGCTGCTTGAGGGCTGTCAGCAGCCTCCGCTACGGCTGGCTCCACGGCAGGGACACCCCGTGTGGGCACGCCTCTGCGTGGTAGCTCCGTGCTGGCTTCCAGAACTCTGGTTCTTTGCAGAATGAAGTGGTTTTCACTCCGGATGTTTTTACGTCAGAGGCTGTTGTAACCAAACCCCAGGGCCAGACGTGTACCAGCTGGACCACGTGTGCCAGGGAGTGATGGGTTGACACAGTGACCTGAGCCATTACCATAAATCCTCACAGTTTTTTAGAATATAGCATTGGAGAGCGCATTGTGAAACCTGGACTTGCCCTTCTTGCTGGAAACCGTGTCTGAGGAAGTTAGGTCTGTCTGGAACGGGTCCTGGGCCCAGCCCGGCTCCCACTCTCCGTGGCTCGTGACCAGAATCTGGCCACAAGCCCCCACCATCGGCGGGTGTGTCCTGGGGTCGGGCACTCTGCCCCGCGGGACCCCGTCCCACTCTGTGCTGGTGGCCCGGACGTTGTGACGCTGTCCTTTCTGGCCGTGGGTTGACCTCAGCCGTGGTCTAGTCTCAGGACATCTATGGGCATCTCTTTGCTGTCTGGGGTGTTTCGCTGTGGGCGTCATGAGCGCATCCCTGCTGGGATCAGTGGGGCTCCAGGTGCCACGGCTGCATTTAGGTACCCTTGTCCAGATCTGTGCTCTCTAGGAGCCACGTGCAAACGCCGCTGGCTGGTGGAGGGCCACGTGGACACTCATGGCTGGCAGAGAAGGCACCCCTGCCTGTGGGCTTGTCGACCAGAGCCGGCCTCGTCCGTCTTGTTCTCTCCCCTTGGTCTCGCTGGCTTCCCCTGCTGACCTGGAAGAGAACATTGGTTTATCTCACAGGGCAGCGTGGTTCTGTGGCACAGGCTTGTGCGAAGCCGTGGGGATGTCTCCTGAGCTGTGGGGGACGCCTCACAGCACGTGTTTGTGGGTCTTGCTGGGGTGAAGGATGGTGAATCCTCGACGGCAGCATCTCGTGGGGCCCCGTCCGGTGACCTTGGCTGGGGGCCAGAGGGCAGTGGGGCCCGTCTTCCTCCTGGTCTTCAATGGCCCGTGTGATCTGGGGCTGTCGGAAAAACGACTGCACTTTCTCGCGACTGCACGCAGTAATGGGTCTTGGGAAACGTCTCTGACGCTCTCAATGCGGACATTCCTGTTTCTGTTGCTTCATAAAAGCGTAACGTGGAGAATGATCTAGTTCTCCCTACGTGTAACTAAACGTCTTGTTTCCTTCCTTTCTTAGGAGAAATCTATCTGTTCTGCAAGGGAGCTGATTCATCCATATTTCCCCGGGTAATAGAAGGCAAAGTCGACCAGATCCGGGCCAGAGTAGAGCGCAACGCGGTGGTGAGATGGGGCTGGGGGCGGCCCGCGTGCCTCACGCCGGGAGGGCAGCTGGCAGCAGCGTCCTGCTCTGTCTGCTGAGGGACGTGCTCTGAGGGCCACCTGTGCCGTGCGCGGAGTGGAACCCACTGGAAGCCCCGGGGGCGGGGGGCACTGGTGGGGTGTCTGCATTATAAGCGCGTCCGTGGTCATCGTGTCGGGTCCTGTGGGGTCTCTGGTGAAGTGCTCCGTCATCATGAAGCCGGCGTCCTCGGCATCTCCCCCGCGTGGTTCCCGCACGTCTCTGCCCCAGGCCTCCAGCAGCGCCGTGCGGTTGGTGTGCTTGCCCGAGCTCCGGCCCCCGCCGGCAGGTGCGCCGCCAGTGCCGGGGGTCAAAGGCATCTCTGACCCTGTCCACCTACCCCCCACCAGACCCTACGCCACAGACCGTGGCCCTGCACAGCCTCGTCCCCACTGCTGCAAACCACAGAATTTCACTTACCCATCGTTACAAACCAAGCAGGGTCTGGCCAAGGTGTTCAGCTGTGCTCTCGCTGACAGGATGAACCCCTGAGTAAGCTTGTGGTGCTCACGGGAGTGTGGGTGCCAAGCGCCCCAGACTCAGCTCTGGGAGGCTGGAGTGCCACGGCCCTAGGGCAGCCGCTGTGCCTTCGTTCCTGGCGGTGTGGCCCGTGTGGCGGGTGTGCCTGCAGCTCTGGCTGTGGTCCCCGTGCCCCTGACCCCTGCTGGCCCAGGGAGGCTCTGCGCTGAGGCCCTGGGCCCACAGGGATGGGAAGGAGGTGCTGCTTGGAGGTGACTGAGCCCTGGCGTGGGGGGTCACGGTCAGTCAGCCTGCTGCCCAGAGGCCAGGGTCCCATTCGCGGAACAGGACGGAGGGCTTCTGCCAAGCGCCTGGACACACACGCTCGCCGCCGTATCGGGGCACTGAGTGTTGATACCCGCTCGCCCGGTCGCCCCCGAGGGGTCAGCCCATCTGCAAGTCAGTCCCCTCAGCAGATCTGAAACGACGGTGGCACACGGCTGGGAAGCCGGCTGTGCAGGTCACCACGCCTGTCAGGCCTGGGCTGTCTACCCTCTGCGCGGACACTGGCACACCCAGTCCCTGCCCGGACCCCAGGACCTCAGCCCAGGACACTGAGAGGATGCTCCTGACGCTCTGGGGTCTCTGTCCGCCCCCTTCTCTGGGGGACCGGGGCATCCACACCAGACTGCCTGTGTTCCCCGGGAAGAGTGGCTGCATATGCCTCAGAGATGGCGTTTCCTCACCTGCACACGGGCAGACGGTGCTGCGGTTTCTCAGTCCGCAAGGCTCTTATCCTGTAACCAGCTTCAGACTCTCCCCTCCAGGCTCCTTCGTGGCCTCCTTCAGAGCAGCTCCGGGGATGGTTGGCGCTCTGCGGCGGGGCGAGGGCGGCTGTGCCTGGTGCATCGGGGCACGCGGGCTCACACGGTCTCCCCCCCGGCTCCAGCGCTCTCCCCACCATCCGTGGCTGCTCGGCGGCCCCTGCTGGGACAGCCCTCTTGATGCCCCAGGGCTTGTCTGGTCGGCAGCTGTGCAGAAACAGCCGCGTGTGTGCCGGGACGGACTCAGCTTCCTTTCCCTCGAGGCGCCGGCTGTCTTCGTCCTCTGTGTCCGTGGCCGTCTTTCGTGGCCACTTTCGGGTTTACACCTGCTCAGGCTGCTCGGGCCTCTTGGGTCTGGGGGTCTGTGGTTCTTTAAATCAAGCTGGGGAGTTTTCAGCCGCTGTGTCTTACGACATACCCACCTGCCGACGTACCCACCGTCCCCGCCTTTCCCAGAACCGCAGTGCCCTGTGGGTAGCGTACGTGGTCATCGCGGACCCCTGGGTCTTTTCTTTTAAAAATGTCCTCGGTTTTGTTTTCAGTACTTCCTGTCGCCCTGTCTTCGTGCCTGTCCTAGCGAGCTGTGTCTCGTCAGCCCCAGGGAGTAGCCGGGTCCGTGTCATCTCAGACGCTGGGCGCTTTCTCTCACCTGCACGTCGGGACTTAGGTTTGGGTCGCGTGAAGCACAAGGTGGCCGTTGGACTGTTTCTCTGCCGGCTCCGCCCTTGGTGCTGGGTCTGCGTCCGCCTCCGCTGGGGGTCGTGTCCTCGCCGTGGGTGACGCTCCCTGCCCCCTTGCATCCTGCTGGCCTTTGACGGACTGGCCCGAGGATGCCCGCCCGTGGGCTGCCCCGTGTTTGCGTCAGCCACAGCTCGGTTCCCGGAGCAGTTCTGTTCAGACGGCGGCTTTCTGACCTGTGACGTGGGTCCAGGCGTCGCTCGGGTGGACCAAGTTCCCACCCCCCCGTCCAGAGACAAAGCCCCTGGGAACTGTGGGGTCTCCCGCCTGACTCCTGGGACAGCACCGTCCCCCTCCCTCCTGATGGTTTGTCCCCGGCCTGGGGAGCCCTTCACGTGCCCACCGGTCCTCTGCAGACGCCACAGGGTCTGCCGCAGTCCCTGCTCCCGGCCCCGCTCCCGGCCTCCAGCCCTGCCCCCGTAGCCTGTGTGCCGCCTGCGTGCGCTCGGCATTCAGGACAGCGATGGAAATGCGTCGGCGCAGAGGGGCCAGCGGTGGCTTCTCGCAGGCCGAGCCACGTGCACGGCGTGGACCCGCCCCTGCCCCTTGTTGTTGGGAGACGTTCCGGTAGTCCCCAGCGTGAAGCCGCCGGAAATAAACCACGTGTAACGCGTGTCCGGGTCGTGCGGACGTAAATTCTCACGTCTCCGGTGCGCACGGCCAGGAGCGCGATGTCAGCATCTAGTGTTGTAAGAAGCTCCCACCTGTTTCCTGGCATCCGCCCGGCCGGCGCGTCTCCGGTCTGCAGCTGGCGCCGCACACGCAGGTGACAGCCGCGCACGCTCAGGCCGCAGCTCCGCGAGCTCTCGTGCCGTCCTCGTCCCCGGCAAAAGGTCCCTGCTGCGTCTGCTCTTGTCTCTCAGGATGGTTCAGTGCGATGTTTTTGTGTGTTTTGCGTTGAATTTTAAGAGTTCTTTAAAAGTGAAAGATGTCAGCTCCTCCGCGTGTTTGTGGTTCGCCAGTGTTTCTTCCACGTCTGCGGCCACTTCCTGTCAGCAGGGCCTTCGGCAGAGCCTCTGACTGTCGGTTTCTGACTCGGGGACGTGCGTCGGGCGTGTGACGCCTGAGCTGTGGTCGCCGCTAGGTGCCGAGTGCGTCTCATGTTTTCTTCCGTGAGGTTCGCACTGGTGTGGTTTACGTTTCAGTCTGTGACCCATTTCTCGTCGTGGTCAGTATGTGGGACTAGACTCGGCCGCGCAGCTGCGCTCAGCACGGGCTTCACCAGTGTCGATGGCAGTGTCACCCCCGACGAAAACTGAGCCCACAGAGCAGGATCTCCCCTTGCGTGCCGCCAGCCCCTGCTGACCTCTGCCCTGCCCTCCGTCCCCGCGCACTTATCTCTGCTGGGTCTTCCGTGCACGTGGGCTCGTACGGTGTCTGTGCCCTCGAGGCCGCCTTCCCTCGCTCAGCATCGCGTCCTCCAGGTCCCTCCAGGCATCGCTCTCCCCGAGCCTCGTGCCTTTTATGGTGGAATAACATTCCACCACATGGGTCTACTGGAAAGGCCACGGTTTGTCCATCCGTGTGTTGACACGCGTCCGGCGGCTGGAGAGATGGTTGTGGGGACGCTGGTCCCGGGGTCAGTTTGGGGCCAGGCTTGCAGAACTCCATTCACGTGCCCAGGGATGGAATTGCTGGGTCACATGGGGACTCCTGTTAGTTTGCGTCTTGACGAACCGTCAGACTGCTTCCCACAGAGGCTGCGCCGTCGCCCGTCCCTGCCAGGCGCACATGAGGGCTTCAGATTCTCTGCGTCCTCGTGGACGCATGCCAGTGTCTGCTTTCGTTACAGTTCTGTGCTGGGTATGCAGTGGCGTCTCACTGTGGTGCTGATTGCATTTCTGTCACAGCCACGGGCCAAGCGTGCGTTCTCGTGCTGCTGACCATTGGGAGGGCTTCGCACAAGGGCCCCTTCAGACCCTTGGCCCATTTTCGAATTGGGCTATTTTTTGTTGTTGTTGGCTGCTAGGCGTTCTTTATATATTCCGGATCCTAATGCCTTGAGGGACGTGTGTGTGATTTGTGACCGCTTTGTCCCGTTCTTTTGGCTGTGTTCTCACTGTTTTGATGGTGTCCTTCGCTGCAAACACTTGTAGGGTTTAGCTCAGTCCAGTTTCTCTCCTGTTCTCTGCTGCCTGCGCGTTTACTCTCGCGTTTACAAAACTGTGCCCAACCCGAGGTCCGGAAGATGTTCCCGTGCTTTTCTTCGGAGTCTGCTGCTGTTCACTCGCACGTGGGCGCCTGTGACCCATTCCGAGTTAGCTTTGTAAGTGCATGAGGAGGGTCCAGCCTCACTCTCCCGCAGGTGGCCGTGTGTCTCCCCAGCTCTGTTGTGGGACAGATCCGTGCACGGGAGGCTCAGTTCTGCCCCATCGTTCTCTGGCGTGTCGCCAGCGGCACTGTTCTGATGGCTGTCCCTTTCCAGGAAGTTCGGCGATCCGGGAGTGTGGGTCCTTCAACTTTGTTGTTCTTTTATGAAATTGTTGGCTGATCTCAGAACTTTGAGACGCCACAAAATGTTAGGATATGTGTAGCCCTCGGGCTGCTGCTGGGGGGTCGCTCTGACCCCATGGAGGGCTTTGGGTGTTGTCCTTGGGATGGGAATCCCCAGTCTGTGCACTTGGGGTGCCTTCCCTTTCCCTCAGTCTCCTGAAATTTCTCCCAGCAACACGTTGTAGTTTCCAGTCTGCACATCTTTTACTTTCTTGACGCAACTGATTGTTGTGTGCTGACTTTGTACTTCTTTTTTTTCTTGTTAAAGATTTTATTTATTTATTTGACAGACGGAGATCACAAGCAGGCAGAGAGGCAGGCAGGGGGCGGTGGGGGGAAGCAGGCTCCCCACTGAGCAGAGAGCCCGATGCGGGGCTCGATCCCAGGACCCCGGGACCATGACCCGAGCCGAAGGCAGCGGCTTCACCCGCTGAGCCCCCGGGCGCCCCTTGACTTGGTATTTCAACCGTTTCCTGAATTTGTCAGTCCCAGTGTTTTTCTCTGGTGTCTTCAGGGTTTTCATCATAGCTCTGAACACGGTAACATTACCTCTTCCTCTACAATTCGATGCCTTTTTTGTTCTTCTTGCGTAGTTGCTCTGGTTAGGAATTCCGAGGCTGGGCTGAACGCGAGTGGCCAAAGTGAGCACCCTGGTCTTGTTCCTGATTCGGGGGCAAAGCGTTTCTCAGTATGATGCCGGCGCAGGGTTTTCACTAAGGCCTCTGTGGTATTGGGGAAATTCCCTTCTAGTCCTAGTTTAAGGAGTGGGGTTTTTTTTTATCATGAAACGGTGTTGGATTTTGTGAGATGCTTTTTCTGCATCAACTGAGACGACTGTGGGGGCTCTCCCTTCCTTCTCCCATCACGTGGCCCGTGGACCGACACCCTTGCCGAGTCAGCCTCGCCTGCCTGGGAGAAATCCATCGGTCATGGCTCATGACCCTTCGTGTATGCTCTTGGGTTCCATTTGCTGGTACTTGGCTGAGGACTTTTCCATCTGTATTTGGAAGACGTTGTTGAATTGTCTCTTGTTGTGGTGTGTCTGTCTGGCTTTGTTTGTACATCAGCGTGTTCTATGCACAGCGTGTGGGGTCTGGCTGGTACTTCGCAGGAGTCAGGAAAGGTTTCTGCTCCCTAGCTCCACGAGCGGAAATCCCATGTCTACCTCCAGAAACACACTTTTTTTTTTATTTCGGAAAGCTCTGCTTACCATTCACACCAACGCTTTGAAGAACTTCAAGGACACCAGGAGGGACTGGGCCGCACTGTGACTGGGTCCTTCGGCCACATGTGGAGACCCAAGGACTCATAAGAAATGGGAAGGATTTTCTGGCACTTACGGGAAATTTGGACGGCTCGTACAGGACAACTTGGGCTGTTCTCCCGGGACACATGGACTCAGGGCTGGAACAACGGGGAGGACAGAAGGGAAGTCGTGCTTAGAGCATCTGTCAGACCATTGCGATGGTTTGCTTCGTCCTGACGGGAAGGAGGTTTTGCTGATGGGATCAGAGCGCCCCGTGGGTGGCCCTCGGGCCCCGACATGTCTCGTGGGCTGTTGGCCCACGCAGCCACTGGAGTTCTGATCATAGTAAATCCACTGTTCTCACATTCTTACTTCTCCACCTTGTGGACCTGGTAGGCTGGACACGTGACCAAGCAGTGTCCCTTCAGTGGTTGCTAAGGGAGAACCCACTGTATCAGAGACTCCCACGTAAAGAACGTTGCTTTAGAAATATCCCTTAATGTTGACAATAAGATCTAGAATTACTACTCTAAAAAAAGAGCTTCATGTTTCATCTGTAAGAATAAGAGAACAGAGTGTTATGTTTTCCTGGCCCTGATTCATGTTAGTCCCGTGCTCACCCGGGTGAAATTCTGTCATCTATAAGGTTGTCGGTATTTAATGTGCATGTAAATAACTCAGATATTTCAGATACAGCGACCAACACCTTTGAGGGCTCGCTGGCTCACAGTTCTGTGGTGAGCCCTTCTCATTCGAGAGGGTATTGGGGAAGCGCCCGAGAGGTAACGTTCCGGCAGAGGGACATTTGACTTCACGGTGAGCGCTGTGCTGTTTCCTGCAGGAGGGACTTCGGACCTTGTGTGTGGCCTACAAAAGGCTCGCTCCGGAAGAGTACGACGGCGTTTGTACCCTGCTGCAGGCCGCCAAGGTGGCTCTCCAGGACCGGGAGAAGAAGTTAGCAGAGGCCTATGAGCAAATAGAGAAGGACCTCATCCTGCTCGGGGCCACGGCTGTGGAGGACAGGTGAGGTACACGCAACGCCCCCTCCTCAGAGAAGCGGTGGCCCTCAGAGGCCTCGGGGCCTGTGTGGTGCCCGGGGGTTGGGCCCCTCTTGTCCTCACAGGGATGTGCGTCCGCAGCGGGACAACACGGGCCTCAGGGGGCATCACCGGGAGGTCGTGCCTGGACGGTGTCTTACCTTCCGTGAGTAAGGCCCTGACAGTCGCGCTCTGCCAGAGGGATCGGAGTGGTTGGCACGTTCATACTGTGGCGCCAGTCGTCCAGAGAGACAGGCATCTTGAAATCATTCTACAGAGTTCCGTCAGCGGTTCTGTCCCTGAGCTCTCCCCACCGCCCTTTCCAAGTTCAAGCGTGACATTTTAGATGTGAGCATCCTCGGTGTACCTGTCATTTCTTGTTGAAGGAATGTAAAACTGTGAATTAGAATATTGCAAAAACCACCACTAATAACCGAGACGTGTCCCTTCAGGCAGGGGCCTTCCCACACTCGGAAGATGGGGCTGGACGTGAGTTTGGGGCTCGTGCACGGAGACACGGGCGTGTCCCCGTGTAACACGAGAGCGTGGATGGAAAGGAAAAGAAAAAAATGCCCCAGTTTAATGGAATGAAGTGGAAACTTGAGGGCGTTTACCGCAAGTTTATTTCCCGCGAAGTTTCAGTCTTTAAGGTGTAAATGGGCCTGACATTTCAGTCCTCACGAGAAGCCTAGTTTTCCGGTGTCTTTAATGAGCACCCCGCGGCCTCCCAGTCTCCAGTGGGGGTCACTCGACTTCAACTTGATGGCCTAAGTCCCTCCTGTCGCTTGGCTGGATGGGGGTCCAGGCACTGACCCAGAAAGGACATGTGGCACCAAGGGCCTGCTGTGCTAGGAGAGAGGGACGTGCGTGGGTTGCGTTTGCCTGGGGGACACTGGGACCGTCCTCGAGGGACGTGCCGGGAGCGGAGAGTCTGGATAGGCGAGTCACATCTGCACACCCTCAGGAGGGTCGAGGGAGACGATCTACTCCATGGGGAGTTGGGACCTCGAAAACAGAGTAGGTTCCCAGGGGCAGGTGAGGGCCAGTGGCCTTGAGGTGATGACATTTAGTCGCAAATCCTTTCCCTAAAACTGACAAACACCTCTGCAGACGGATCTTTCTGGTTCTCAGTTTCCACTTTCCAAACAAACTGATAAAAGTATGAGATGTCCCCATGCCTCCGGAATGCGGAGGTCCTGTGAGCTCCAGGCTTTACCGAGTCTCGTCGGGTCAGCGCAGTGGGGTCCGAACCCCTGGTGCTGGGCAGGGACACAGTGCATCACTTCACATGCCTGTCAAAAGTGCAGACACTAAACTCTGGAAAGAACGACAGGTCCCAGATGAGGCAGACGTCCACGCACAGCACGGCAGTCTGACCAGTGTGTGAGCTGCTCACCCTCACACGAGTCTGCCCCCTGCCCGTGAGCCCTGGGTTTTTCACCCAGCACAGGGTTGCTGATGGGGGCTCACCCTGTGAGCTCTGGTGGAGGGGTGCATCGTGGGCAGGGCTTCCCATGGCCTCTGACACGTGGCCAGCTTGTGGTGCGCAGGAGCCCGTCGTGGAACCTGCCGGCGGTCTCGGTGTTTGGCTGTATTTGGGGCCCCTGCTAAGAGGCGGACTTGCACCAGCTCAGGCCAAAGGGAAAAGGCAGCGAGTACTCGGACTTCCTCTTCTCCTGGCGCCGTCCTCCCCGGGCTGAGACGTCCTTTGTTGCCGGTGATGGTCCTTGTCGTCATCGCCCCAAATCTTCCGCGAGTGGGGAAGCCCCGCCGGACAGGGTGCCGCGTGCTCACCGAGCGTCGGTTGTGCGCGAAGGATGCGTCACTTCTCAGTGTTGCACGCCTGCCTCCGCTTGGAACTGGGAAGCGCTTTCCTGTAGAGCTGACACGTGAGCGTATGGGCAGCTCTGGGGGCCCCGCGGTCACGTCGTGAGCCGACGGCCTGGTGCTCTCTAGCTTGTGGGGACGGAGCTAGTGGCCTAGGTTCCGGAGTCGGAGGTGCCCCGCTCAGGCCCGTGGTCTCGCTCCTACTTCGCTCAGGCTCCAGGAGAAGGCTGCCGACACCATTGAAGCCTTGCAGAAAGCCGGGATCAAAGTGTGGGTCCTCACCGGGGACAAGATGGAGACGGCGGCCGCCACCTGCTACGCCTGCAGGCTGTTCCGGAGGGGCACGCAGCTGCTGGAGCTCACCACCAAGCGGCTGGAGGAGCAGAGCCTGCATGACGTGCTGTTCGAGTTGAGCAAGACCGTGCTGCGCCACAGCGGGAGCCTTACCAGGGACAACTTCTCGGGGTAGGCAGGGCCCGTGCCCACTGCAGGGGGGCAGCCGTGGGTGTCCGTCCCCGGGGGTCGTCCCGGCGAATGGCGGGACGCGGCCAGGGCGAGTCTCCGTGGCCACTGTGAGATGTTTTTGCAGAAGAGTTACGTGTGTGTGTGTCTGTAAGCGTGTCTGTGAGTGTCCGAGTGTGTGTGTGTGTGTGTGTGTGTCCGCGTTTGTGAGTGTATCTGCGTGTGAGTGTTTGTGTATCTGTCCGTGTGTGCCAGCGTCTGAGTGTCTGTGAGTGTGTGAGTGTGTGTCTGAGTGTGTTCACTTTTAAATGCCACACAAGGACACAGACTTGACTGACGTAGGCAGTACTGGGAGGGGGTCATTCCCATGCGCTTTGAGGCCGGGGCTGTATCGTGGATCCCGCGGGGCAGCTGTCGGGCAGAGAGAGCTGTTCTAGCGCAAGGCCGAGCAGGACGCGCTCCGGAGTTGTGTCTTCCAGCAGCGGTCCGCCGTTCACGCACATGTGGTCGGCACTGCCCTTGCTGCTACCAGGTCCGAGGCTGAGGGCTCTGGGAACGTGTCAGATTTGCAGTACGGTGGTGACGGGACAGCAACCCTGTCATTGGACGCGAGCGTTATCCGTCCCTTCTCCTGACCTGCAGGGCTGCTCTGGGGGTCGGGGATGTGCCCGTAGCTTTGAAACGCAGCAGAGAGACATGCGCACTCCCGGCCGGACGCCCGGGGAGGGCGTGATGAGGCTGCGGCCCGAGGCTGGCCCGCACGGCCGGGTCTGCGGGAGGAGAGACTGAGCTCCGCCGGCCCAGGACGCGTGCTCTTGGCCGACGGCGTGGACGTCGCGGAAGGTGCGCGCGGGCTGGAGCTCGGTGTCTGCGCTGCGCTGGTGCCAGGAGTGTTTCTTTTCGGCTGTGCTGGACCGCGGGGCCCGGGGCGCTCTCGAGGCTGTGCCGGTAGAACGGTCTGCCGTGGTCGGCTGATGGCGTGACAGGCCTCCGAGCCGTGCGCCCTGGGCTCCCGAGTGACGTGTCTGTTGCTGTGATGGAACAGGCTCTCAGCCGACCTGGAGGACTTCGGGCTGATCATCGACGGAGCCGCGCTGTCCCTGGTCATGAAGCCCCGCGAGGACGGCAGCGGCGGCAACTACCGGGAGCTCTTCCTGGAGATCTGCCGCAACTGTAGTGCCGTGCTGTGCTGCAGGATGGCGCCCCTGCAGAAGGCCCAGGTCGGCCCCAGAGCCCCCAGCCCCTCGCGGTTGTGCTAAGCTCAGAGAGGCACCGCCTTCTTTAAGTAGAGGCACAAAGGGCAGAAACGTCCAGCCTGGGTCGTCCTCTGCTGAGGCGAGGGTGGGCGGAGTTGGGTGGGACGCCGCCCGCTGGAGGCAGGGGAGGTGGAGGCCGGGGAGCCTGCCCCCCACGGCCTCTCGTACACGGGGAGCCCCATTTCTGAGGCTCCGTGGGAGCAACGGGGTGCAGGTGCGCTCCAACACGCCTGCCGCTGGCACGGCAACAGGTGCGGCACAAACCACTGCAGAGTGGTGCCCTTGTGAGTGCTGTCCCTGAGCGTGCGGGAGCACTGAGACACGGAGAGTCGGGGGAACTTTCTACAAGGGAGTTTGGAAGCTGGCATCCGCCTACGGCCTCCAGACTCCTGAGCCCCGGAGCATGGCTGCAGTCCCGCCCTGCCCCCCACCCCATCTCCTGCTGCAGGCTCCCTGGAAGCCTGTGTCATCCTGTCCAGAGGGGCACACCTAGGACATTGTGTTGGATTTTCCTGTGTTACGCAGTCTTTTTTTGAGTTTCTGACGTTCAGAAGTGTTTGCACACATTCGTGTTTCCGACTCTGCTGTGGAAAGGACAGGCGGTCCGCTCATGTCTCCTCATCTTCTCGGTCCTCTCTCTGAACCGCGGCCCTTAGACGCATAGATGGAGAGAGTTCGCAAAGAAATGGACCACCCGCTTGAAATTATTCCCTGTGTCACATTTCCAGATCGGATTTGCATACATGACAACACTGAGCGTTAAAATAACATGAGAAGCAGCTTATTTAGGAGAAAGAGATGCCCGTAGCAGACGGCCTGCAGGGCCGTGTCTCCTGGCTGAGCGTGCTGTCCACGTGTCCCCGGGGCTTGCGTGGCCCCGTCTGCTGAGTCTGCCTCAGCAGCGACGCACAGCCGTCGCCCACCAGCCCTGTCCGGTGACCACACGTGAGCCACCTTCTCTGCTCGCGCGTCGGCAGCGTAAGGCTGGGCCTGCACACAGACGGCAAGTTCACGCTGAGCCGCTCACTGTCCTGCCCTCCTCGGCCGACTTGACGTCTGTGTTCCGCCTAGGTAGCGATCTGGGCCAACAGGAAACAGAAGACATAAATTCTCGATTTGCTTATTTTCCAGATTGTTAAGTTAATCAAACTCTCCAAAGAGCACCCCATTACTTTAGCCATCGGGGACGGCGCCAATGACGTCAGCATGATCCTGGAGGCACACGTGGGCATCGGTGAGTGGCCCGTGTCCGGGAGCCCGTGGGCAGGGAGGGGAGACCGGCAGCGGGACGAGGGGTGCGGGCGCAGGGGCGGCGGGACAAGTGGTGTAGGGTGCGACCGGCCCGGGCCTTCCTGTTGCCCGTGTTTGCTGGCGCCCGTCTCGCTGCCTGCCGCTTGCCCTCGTGCGGTGCTGAGAGCAGGGCCCTTCCCGCAGGTGTCATCGGGAAGGAGGGTCGCCAGGCCGCCCGGAACAGCGACTATGCGGTCCCAAAATTCAAGCACCTGAAGAAGATGCTGCTGGTTCACGGGCATTTCTACTACGTCAGGATATCCGAGCTCGTGCAGTACTTCTTCTACAAGGTGGGGCGTCCGTGCCACGGCCGCCTGGCGCGCTGGTGCCACGGGGACGGCTCAGGAAGAGACGGGCCAGCAGGGAGGGGGTGTCGCGTTGCCCTGAGAGGGGAGGGCGACACACTGCTGCGCACACAGCTTCGGCGTGGAACGGGCAGGAACCTGGCCGTTGTCATGTGGTCGAGGGAAGGTTCTGCCATGTGTCCTGGCGAGCAGTCCTTGTCCTTGTCCGTCACGCACTCGGACTCTTCCCTTGCCGTGCTCAGGCCCTGCCGTGTCCCAGAACGCTGTCCCCTCACAGAGTTGCCATGGCTCGTGCCGTTAAGACGAGAGCAGGCTTCATGCCCTTCTGGGAGCACAGGAGCTGCGGGGTCACGTGCTGCAGACACCATGGGTCTCAGGCATGGCGCGGGGGACGTGGTCCCCGGCATGTGTCGGACTAACCCGCGTGTGGCTTCCCTTCCAGAACGTCTGCTTCATCTTCCCTCAGTTTTTGTACCAGTTCTTCTGCGGGTTCTCACAGCAGGTGAGCCCGGCTGTCTGGAGTCAGACGCTCCCCTGGGCCTTTTCGCCCGGCCCTTGTGGGTGGCGAAGGGGGGAGCGGGCTGCAGGGGCAAGTCAGCCATACTGGGGAGCAGGGTACAGGGGCGAGTCGGCCATATGGGGGAGCGGGCTGCAGGGGCAGTAGGTCAGGGGTGCTGTGGTCTCCATCTCACACCCCCGTGCAGCTGTCTGCTGGCAGGGTCAGGAGCAGACGCGGAGGCGCGGTGGCTGCCGTGGGCTTCTGTGTGGCCACAGCGAGGTGGCCCGCTCACCCATCCCCGAGGCTGCGGTGGTTTCCGACCCTGAAGGAGGGACCAATGGCATCTGAGTCCCCGTCCCAGTTTCCGCCCCTGAAGGAGGGACCAGTGGCATCTGAGTCCCCGTCCCGCACACCTGGCCATCTGCCATCGGCCTCTGGCATGCTCAGGGGTGCCGAGCTGCCTGGGAGCGTGGTGGCCCCTTCCCGTCACGTTCCTGCTTCTGCCCGAGGGGCCGGGCCAGGGAGCACTGAAGCTGGACGGTCACGGTGGCGGACTTCTCAGCCGCTGTTCGTGCTGCTGGCCTGCAGCGGCCGAGCGGGGCGGGTCCCGGGGGCGCTGGTGTCGGCCGTGGCTGTAACCAACAGTGGGCACCAGGACGCACTGGAAGACGTCCCTGTGTTCATAGCTGCAGGAAGGGGACGCTGTGCAGGTCGGGCTGCTGTGGGTCCGGGTCTTTGTGAATCAGAGGAGACGTGTACATTTCAACGAAGCGTGAGAGCATGTGGTGACCCGCGGAGCGCGGTTCTCAGGCCGATTCTGTTCTCCCGCAGACTTTGTACGACACCGCCTACCTGACCCTGTACAACATCAGCTTTACGTCCCTCCCGATTCTCCTGTACAGCCTGATGGAGCAGCACGTCAGCATTGACACGCTCCGCAGAGAGCCCTCCCTCTACAGGTACCGGTCGCGCTGGGCTGGCCTCAGGGCTCGCTAGCGCTCCTGGTGCCCGGCCCCGCACGCCGGTCCTGCCAGAGCCCCCCGTGGCCGCTGGGCTCCCAGCCGCCGGAGAGGGTCTGGGGGGAAGCAGCCTACCTCAGACTAGGCAGAGGGTTTGTGCGGCCTTTGAAACATGCCTGTTAAGCCAGTGGGTCTTACTGTGCTTTTCAGCAATTCCAGAAAGACCCAGGATCTGTGTTTCTGCCCCTTGGTGACCCCAGTGGATTTGGAGCCTAAATGATCCTTTAAAAACCAAGTACGCTCCATTCGATGAAATAAAAGGGAAAGTTGACGGTCTGATCTCAGGGTGCCCTTCTGGGCTAAGAAGTGTCTTTAATGATCAGGAAGAGGTGTTGTTCTGCCATTCTGGAATTCCCTCCAAGCTGGCCGGCAGATTCAGGCTGTTACTGCTTTTGTGGCTTTTTAAATTTAACTTTTCACGTCAGAACGGTTTGAAGGCCACGCAGGTTCTTGAGTCTTCCTCCGGCATCCCTGGCGCTTAGCGCCCAACAGAACGGCATCCCCGGGTGCCCGGGTTTCCTGGTCTCTGTCTCTGTGCGTATGCCTATGCACGCACACATGGTGGGTCCCAGGTCTGCACAGTGCAGAGCACCTGCCAGCCCCATGGTCCCCATCGGGGTGTCCTCCGTGACACGGGACCTGGAAGCCCGAGCCCCAGTGGCTTCCGCAGGCGATGAGCCGGCAGGCGTGGAGCTCACCGTGTGTCCGTTCAGTGGTAGGGGAAGGCGTGTGAGGAGGCAGGAGGCGCTGGGTTAGGCCCGCCTCCAGAGGGACCCGTGCCGCTGGCCTCCCATGCACTCACGGGTGTAGGAGTTGTGCCAGGAGATGCGCCATGAGCCTGAGGCCTGCAGCCCGTATCTCACGGGAATGTGTGTGGACCTTGTGTCCTGGGTCCATGCACGAGCAAAGATTGAGTCTGTCATGTGAGTGTCCATCTGGAGGGAAAGAAGTGAATGTCATTTGCATTTGATCCCATGGGGACGTCGTCCTGGGTGGAGGGTCCCGTGCCGCCGCTGGGCGTGGGCTCTGATGGCTGGGCTCTGACTCTGCTTCTGGTGCAGGAGTCTGGTGCTCTGGCTGTCCCCCAGGACTCTGTGGAGCCGGGCGAGGTGCTGAGGGAGGGACAGGGTGTTCAGCAGGCGGCCAGGGGCAGGCAGAAGGTGATGTGGGGACACATTTGGCACTGGGAGCTATGAGAAGGAACCCAGCGGGATCTGCCCGGAAGGCTCTGTGAGGTCAGAGCACGTGCCCAGCCCCAGTGCAGCTGTGGAGGGGTCAGGCAGGGCTAGGCCGGCCAGGCAGGGTGACCCGCGGCAGACAGACCACCCATCCTGTGGACCGGGCCTGTTTCTCTACGACCCACTTTCATGGCGTGGCCGCACCAGCTGGCTCTGAGGCTGGGGGGCAGTGCCGTGACTGAGGGGGCCTTCCCGGCCCGATGGCACTACAGAGTGTGGGGCGGCCTGGCCAGGCGAGAGTCTGCTGTCGCTGACCCGCGGTCTCCCTGTCCCCTTGCGCAGAGATATCGCCAAGAACGCCCTCCTCCGCTGGCGCGTGTTCATCTACTGGACGCTCCTGGGCGTGTTTGATGCTCTGGTGTTCTTCTTCGGTGCTTACTTCCTGTTTGAGAACACAACAGTGACCAGCAACGGGCAGGTTAGTGTGGAACCGCACGTGCGGCCGGGCCAAGGGGGGTCCCGTACGGGTGCGGGTCAGGGTGGTCCATGGGGCCTGGTGCGGGGCCTCCGTCCAGCAAAGCACCTCGAGGCCACGGCGCCTCTGCACCTGCTGGACGCGCCCCCAGGAGCCCCAGGCCGATGGCTCTCTGTGCCACCACGGTTCCGTTGTTCCGTTCCGTGGCTCAGGCGTGGCTCATTTCCTGCGGGAATTAATTCGTATTTAACATGTCGCTTTTGTTCACACTCATTTACCTTAAGTGCCTGCCGCTCGCGGTGAGCAGGTCTAGAGTCTGCGGGTGGGCAGGCGGCTGCCTGCTTGTTCGCGTAACCTCGGGGATGTTTTATTCCTATCTCGCTTTTGTCTTTTGCCACGGGCGTCCCTCCCCACTCTCAGATAGTGACCACCAACACACACATGGTAAGAAAACTGTGGGTTTGTCCTCTATGTTTTGGAGTGCCTTAAAAATAAAATATTTCTCGAAATATTTTCACCTGTGCCCTCTTCTGTGTGCTCTGTCGGTAGAAGCCTGCTAGCGGCCGCTGGCTCCCAGGCGGGGCTGGTGCTGCCTTAGACAAGTATGTCTGCATTCGGTTGTTTGTTGTGCTGTTTCTGGAGTTCTGTGTGGGGCCCGCCCGCCAGGCGGTGGTGGTCTATGGCACATACGTCTGAGCTTCCGTGCGTGGCGCCGGCAGGCTCGGGAGGCTTGATGGGGACACCACGCTGAGCGCAGCCGACCCAGGCCTCCGGGACTCTCCGGGAGATGCGCAGGTGTGCTCCAGGGCCGTCCCCTCTGGAGCGCCGCCCAGGTTCGGTGGCCACGGGACGCGAGTCCCTCCCTGCCAGGCGGCCCGCTGCTCCCGGCACGTGGTGACCTGTTCCTTCCCTGTGTTACGAACGGGCTGTTCTCCTTTGTTGCCGTGGAAGTCACGTTCGCTAACTGATGTCGGAAATGCTTTAAAGACCTCGTTTCCCTTCCCTAAAGCCTGGCGTTTTTGGGAACGTCCTCTGTCTGCATTTGCCTGGACCGTTCCCAGGGCAGCTGGCCCCGAACTGTCCTCCTGTGGGGTCTCCACATGCCTTCGCGAAGCCAGGCCCTGAGGGGGGCTGTTGTCTGTGTCTGAGGAAGCACGAGGGTTCCGGGTCCCCGGAGCTGGGACGTCAGGACCGACGTGGCCTGTTAGCGCTGCGAGAGGCCTCCTGGCGCGGTGTGGCTTGCCCGTCGCTCGGGCAGCTGGAGTTCAGATGACGTGACGTCCACGCACAAGCGCGCGGACCGTGGTCTTGTGCGGCGCCGTGCTGTTACTCTCCGTGCTGCTCCTTCATTGCCCCAGACTCGACAGTACCTGGTGAGATGCCTGGACGTGGCTGCGCCGGCTGGCGTGCGCGGCACGTGGTCTCTCATGAGGTCTGGGCAGTGCCTCCTCCTTGTGCTCCAGCGTCCGGAGCCCTCATGTGCCCCCAGCTGGACCTCGTCCGCAGCACCAGGAGCAGCCCCGCAGCTGCCTTGCTGCGCGCTGGCCGTCAGCTCCCGGGGCCTCAGCCCTACTCGCCTGCCTATCTGGACGTGACGCACATCTTGTCGTGTGAGAAGCGGCTTGGAAGCCTGGTGATGCCGTGAACCAGGCCCAGGGCGGTCGGTGCCAAGCAGGGTGCTGAGGTTTTGTCCGCAGCGTCCGAGAGGCGAAGTCTCCTGCAGGTCTGTCCGCAGCGTCCGAGAGGTGAAGTCTCCTGCAGGTCTGCCGTGCTCCGTAGAGGAGGGGCCCCAGGGCTGGGCTTGTCAGAACGAGATGGACGGTAGCCACAGCGCCCGGGTCACGAGTGGTGCTCGTTTTCCTCCCGTATCCCTGGGAGGGCAGGAACCGCACGAGGCTGGGTTGCTCAAGACCACCGCGCACAGAGCAGGGCTAAATGTCTGGTATCGGAGCCCTAGCCACCCCTCCCCCCGGTGCCTCCGGGTCTCCAGATGGAGCCTTTCTTGTTTGCTTCGTCGGTAAGGCGGTTCGATCGCCCACAAGACTAAGACGGCGTTGTGGCGTCATCCTGCAGTGATTCGGACAAACCCCCAAACCCAGGTGCTTCGAGGGCCAGTCTCCGGAGACCCATGATGCCCTTGGGGTACGAGGGGTGGGCAGCAGGAGTTGGCGGGCTGTACTGTCCATCCTGCCCCGGACACCCACCCTTCCCGCTCGGGGGCAGCCTGTGGTGGTGCGCTCCGGAAGTGCCATCCCGCGGACGCTCGGTAGGGGAGGACCCTTTCCTGGAGAGCTGCCTTGTTCTGTAGGGACGTGCATAGGTCAGCTGTGGTGTGGGGGACAATCATGGTAACTTCTTGAAAAGAAATTCACTTAAGGAGCGTTTTCTGCATAGACGCCAGGAGCCAAAGCTGTTCCTCTCTCTGACACACACCCAAGCTCACAGAGGCTGGAAGGGACGTGCTCGTGTTGGGCACTCGGGCTCCGCTGCAGTCGTGGTAATGGAGGTCAGCCAATGTCGAGGACAGACGGCGGGTTCTTAGGGCCGTGATTTGAGAGAACACTGGTGCTCGTTGTGGAGTATTCTTACATCGGGAAATCTGGATTTGAGGGATTTTAGGAGCGGGACGCTTTCCTGCAAGATGCTCCCGTGAGGGTGGGGGCCGGAGGGCGATCGGCGTAGCTGGAGGCTCACAGGCTCCGCAGGCGTTCATGAGGCTACGTGTCCCTGGTCGTCTGTGCCGAGGGGGTGCTCTGTTAGGAGATCGGGGGCTGGCGGCCAGGGACCGCTGTCATTCTGAAAACAAACCCTCTGGGCACACTTTAATCTCCCGCCCCCAAAACCCATAGAAATAGTGACAAACAACTTGAATGACAAAAGCCTGAGGGCTCCCCCACCACTAATGAGGACTTGAGTGGGTGTTCCCAGAGCTGTCCCCTGACTGGCTGTCCCAGGGAGTCGGAAACCACCAGCTGAGGGCACAGGTGACAGCAGAGCAGATGCATCCTCACTGCCAGAGCTTGTAACTGAAACTCACATTTTTGGAGCCAACACGGTCGTGTGTTGTCACCGTGCCTGTAGAAATGACAGCTGAGACCCGTGCGTTCCTGCGCGAGACACCGGTAGCCCTGCTTGGTCACCCCAGGTCTGCTGTCCTTTCCAGCTCCGCAACCTGGCCGGTTCGTGGTGCTCTTGGCGAGACGCTGCCCATCCACCGCACGCGCTCCTGCACCCTGCTGTTACCCGACCCCTCCGAAACCCTGCTGGGTGCCCTGCCAAGCGGGGGTGGTGACCTCGGCCGCCACGGTGTTGGAAGCGGAGGGGCCGGCCTTCCTCAGGTCCCGCTGACGGCCGCGCGGATTCAGGGCTGTGCCAGCCTGGCTGTAGGCTCACCCTGTCCTTCCGTCTGCGAGCATCAGGGCGCGGTTTCCGACACCCTACTGGCCGGGCATCTCCGTGGGCTGCGGCCACGCTGCTCCTGGGTTCAGACTCTGAAGTTTGTCCTGACCCCAAAGTGAGACAATGACGAGATCGCACTTTCTGGTCAGAGTTTCTTACCTGGGCGCTGTGGCCTCTGGGGCTGGGGAGTTCAGGTCCCTGGGGCCACCCTGTGCAGGCAGCAGGCCCCAGCCCTCCGTGCAAGATGACAGCAGCAGCCCCTCCCCAGCGCGGCAGCCAGAACCGTCCTGGGCCTTGGCAGGGGTCCCCTGGAGGCAGAGTCACCCCACATGTGGGTCCGAGCAAGGGAAGCCCCTTTCCGGTCACACCGATGGACGGGGATGAGGTCCAGATGCTGGTGAGGGCTGTGGGGCCCTCTATCCTCACTCAAGTTCTAGAATCCTCCTCGCCTCCGTGTCCGCCTGCATCTGCTCTGTGGAAAACGAGCTCACAGGAAGCCATTTGCGTTCCAGCCACTTCATGCTTAGTGAAATACAGCCGTTTGCTTTTAAAAAGTATGAGGACCGCTTTCTGAGAGGCACGGTTCACAGGAACCAGAAGGGGGTCGGTGCTTAGGGGACTCTGGAGAAATCTCGAGGAGAGTAAGATCTCCAGCAGACTGATTTCCCCTGAGAGAAAGTCGGTATTTTGTTTTCTGTGTCTGTGTCTGTAGTTGAGAAACGTCTTGTTTTCGTGATTCGATCCTGTGTTTCCACCTCGTGTGGCTTCGCGGCACCGTGCGGGGTCGGGGGGGGCTGGCTTTCTCGGGGCTGTGGCACGTCTGTGGGTCTGGCCGTCGCACTGGCTGCCGGGGCCTCTGTACAGCTGTCTTGTCCGCCTCCATTCCCCTTGCCCTGGGCACATCCAGGGGAGAGCCATCCTCGGGGTCCCTGCCTGGGACACAGTCGTCCCCTCTAGCTGCTCGCGAGCAACTTGCTCCTGCCGGTGGCTTCCTTCCAGAGAGGGCAGGGGTCTGAGCTGAGCTCGGAGGAGGCAGCCAGTGCTCCCCAGTCTGTTCTCGAGCGGGTGGGAGGTGTGGGGCCTGGGAGCTGCGTCGTGTCTCTTCCCCATGACACACGACATGGAAGAGACACGGCCGGCACCGTGTTCACTAGCGTTCTGGCTCTCGGGGATTTTCTCCTATCCATCTGCCACGTTAGGACTGGTGTTTGGGGAGGATCAAGGGGGCCAACATTGAGGGGTCGGTGCAGGAGCCGCTCTGAACCCATCCCTGGACTGCTGGCCTGGCCCCCGAGGGTGGTGCAGGGTCCCTGGGGGCCTGGGGTGCCCCAAGTGTCAATAGCTGGCTACTCCCTGTCCCTGTGTCTTTGGGGTCTGGAGCGCTGGCCCGCCAGAGCAGTGAGGTGCGTTCTCTAACATTCTCAAGTGTGGAGGGGGGCGATGTGTACCCACTGCTGACTCTGTGGACGGTTTCCCCCACAGATCTTTGGAAATTGGACCTTTGGGACACTGGTGTTCACCGTGATGGTCTTTACAGTCACACTAAAGGTGAGTGCTTGCTGTTCCCCTTCCTTATTCAGCAGCCCCGTTCCTTGTAACTGTGCCCGGGCTGGAGCCCCCTGTGTCCTGGGCCACCCTCCGGGGTCACATTCAGTCATTTATGAAGTCAAGGGGAGACGCAGCACGCCGGGCCCCAGGCGACCCAGTATGTGAACTTAGATGAAGGAGGGATGAGTCAGATTAGAATTCCTTCAAATGACAAGCATCCCCATCCTAATACAGTCAAAATCTACCATAATATAAACGTGTTATGGGAAACTCAGCTCTTTTGAGAGGCAAGCCCGATGCTGTGTTCAGGGCCATGCAGACGGTCGCCCCCACGTCTCCGCAGCGGGAACGCAGCGGACAGGGCAGCTGGCCGGTCCGGGACGCGCTCCCCGGGAACACCAAGGACCGGGCAGCCGGTCCGACCCGGGGTGGGCTCCCCAGGACGCCGGGCCACCGCCTTCTCTCTCTCCTCTGGGGGCCTCCAATTCTGTGCCTCCTCAGCAGGTTTGCGTCGGCGCTCTGGCTGCTGTGGGCCGGGGTGGTGCGCGTTCCTCGTTCTCTCCTGGTGGCGGGTCTGCGCAGCCGCGGCTCCTTCCGGCCCTCGAGGGCGCACTTCACGGCTGGTGTGTGTCTTTCAGCTGGCGCTGGACACGCACTACTGGACTTGGATCAACCACTTCGTCATCTGGGGGTCCCTGCTGTTCTACGTCGTCTTCTCCCTGCTCTGGGGAGGAATCATCTGGTATGTGGGGGAGCCACGCCGCGTGACCCGTGATCAGCTGAGCCGGGGTGGCCGCGGGGGCCCTGCTCCAGATTGCAGGTCAGACGAGGCCCCTCAAGGGAAGTCATTTACGCCATGGCGTGGGCGGGAAGTTCACCGTGGCTGCCAGGTGGAACACGGGCCGGTGAAACCGCGGTGCTGGTTCTGTGGCCTCTGACGAGGGCGAGAAGCAGCTGGCTGTGGCGCCTGCTCTGCGGAGTTTCCCGTCACACCTTGGCTCATGCTGGTCCTTCTGCCCGGGCCGTCCTTTCCCATTAGCCTGCCCCGTGAGCTCTTTTTTTTTTTTTTTTTTTTAAAGATTTTATTTATTCATTTGTCAGAGAGAGAGAGGGAGAGAGAGCGAGCACAGGCAGACAGAATGGCAGGCAGAGGCAGAGGGAGAAGCAGGCTCCCCGCCAAGCAAGGAGCCCGATGTGGGACTCGATCCCAGGACGCTGGGATCATGACCTGAGCCGAAGGCAGCTGCTTAACCAACTGAGCCACCCAGGCATCCCTGCCCCGTGAGCTCTTATGTGTCCTTCAGGACCCCGTGCTCATCGCCCTCCGTGTGCTGCCGGCGAGCCCCCACCCAGGCAGGGCGGTCCCGCCTCCTCACCGGGTCGCCTCAGCCTCTGTCCCCGCTCGTCAGGGCACCCGCGCCTCTGCCAGAGACAGGGCGTTTCATGAGCACGGCTGGGACGGGGGGGGGGGGGGGTGCCTGGCCCTGGGTGCGCTGGCGGGTGCAGGGTCCCCTCCCCCGCGGGAGCCCCCCTCCCCCCCAGCATCGCTAACCCCTAGTGGCCAGAGCCAAGCGCTGCAGGCTCGTTGGGACCCGCAGGTGAGGAGCTCCATGGCCTCCAGCCTGCCCAGCACCGTCCACGTTTTGTCCCAGACGCCCACCTGCCCGCTGCTGGCCTTGGGCGTAGACACGGCGGAACTGGCCAGGTTCCCCGTTGGCCATGGAGCCCTGTGGAGCTTTCTCGAATCGCAGATGTGCCCGAAGGGGCCACGCAAGCCGTTCCCACAGAGGGCGAGCCGAGGGCAGCTGGCGAGTGCCGCCGGCTGGAATTGTGCGTGTGTCTGGCACGGTCGCCAGCTCCGGGGACGGCCTTGTCTTTGGGAGGACTTCATGGAAGCCTTTCCTCCCGCCCCGTTCCTCACACCTGGCCGGACAGGTCCGTCCTGCGGCCCGTTGCCCGCGAGCGAGGTGCCCACCCCCAAGAGGGTCAGGGCCGGACTGGAAGGCCCGCGCCACCAGGGGGGCTCCTCCGGGCAGGGAGAGCGGAGCCCCCAGGTAACGTCCAGCCGGCCTGTCTGTCTCTCCAGGCCCTTCCTCAGTTATCAGAGGATGTACTATGTGTTCATCCAGATGTTGTCCAGCGGCCCCGCCTGGCTGGTCATCATCCTGCTCGTCACCGTCAGCCTCTTCCCCGACGTCCTCAAGAAGGTGCTGTGCCGGCAGCTGTGGCCCAGTGCCACGGAGAGAATCCAGGTGCGGACGGGGCGGGGCTGCGGGCGGGACTGCGGGCTGCGGGGCGGGGCTGTGGGTGGTGGGGCGGGGCTGTGGGCGGGGCTGTGGATGGCAGGGCGGGGCTTCGGGGGCAGGGTGGGGCTGTGGGCGGGGCTGCGGGGTGGAGGGGGCACCCAGCCAGAGCGGGAGCTTGAGGCAAAGCAGGAGAGGCTTGTGCTGGGAAACGTGGTCAGTCCAGGGCGTCCTGTTGAGGGTGAGAAGGTGGACGCAGGGAGGTGCAAGGTGACCAGCGTTCCGACCCCAGAAGCTGGTGCGCGGAAGTAAGGAGAGAGCAGGAGAGGAGGACCGAGCCCCTGCAGAAGGAAAGTCCTTTGTGGAAACCTAAGGAAGCTTGTAGGTTGAATCCTTGCTTCGGAGGTAAAAGTGCGTTAGCTTTAGGGGCGGTGAACGTGGCCCAGACGTTAGCGTTTGTGTTGGGAAGTTCCGGTGCGCACTCGGGTCGTTGGTTTCCACGATCCCAAACTGAGGCCTCCAGCCTGGACTCTGCATTCAGGAGAGGGATGACACGCGCAGCCCACCCCAGCTTAAGGACCGCAGCAGCTGTCACTCAGCGTTCTCAGGGAGGGCGCGTCCCCCATCCCCTCACCCCTGTGATCTCAGAGAGGGCACTTCCCCCATCCCCTCACCCCTGTGATCTCATGGAGGACACGTCCCCCATCCCCTACCCCTGCGATCTCAGGACACACCCCCCCATCCCCTCACCCCTGTGATCTCAGGACACACCCCCCATCCCCTCACCCCTGTGATCTCATGGAGGACACCCCACCCAATCCTCTCACCCCGCAATGTCAGGGAGGGCACCTCTCCCATCCCCTCACCCCTGCGATCTCAGGGAGGGCGCGTCCTCCATCCCCTCACCCCTGTGATCTTAGGGAGGACGCGTCCCCCATCCTCCCAACTCTGCAGTCTCAGGGAGGACACACCCCCCTATCCTCTCACTCCTACAATGTCAGGGAGGGCACATCTCCTATCTCCTCACTACTACGGTCTCAGGGAGGACACTCCCCTCACCTCTGAGATCACGTCCCCCATCACCTCACCCCTGTGTCCTGCCCATGGAGGTGCAGCGCCTCTGTAAGGAGAAGAGAGGGTCCTGTCAAGTGTGCAGGCAGAGCAGGGCTCTCCCTGCAGAACACAGGTGGACGTGCAGGTGGGAGGACTCTCCGTGCCCTTGAGGACATGAGGCAAGGCCTTCCGGGCAGCTCCCTCGGTCCGGGGCTCCCCCTCCCGTGCTGTTGGCCGGCCTCAGGTGGGAAACGGCCAGGCTGCTACTGGGTTTGCAGGGAGCGAGGTCCAGGCACTGCGTGTGCCCGCCTCCACCCGTCCCAGTGGTTGAATGGGATCCGGGGGGCGGGGAGCTTTCCCAGAAGTCTGTGCGGACTGAGCATGCTGGGCGTGGTGCTCCTGGTTCCCCGCAGTTCCCTCCTCGGTGCCTGCGTGTCTGTAGTCGGCACCGACGGCGTGAGTGTGCGGGAACACCTTCGCTCTGAGCTCTTGAACAAGCGAACATGAGAGGAGGTGTCGGGGCAGGAGGAGAAAGACAGCAGGGACGAGAGGCCTGCGTGGCCCCGGGAGGGCAGTGTCCAGGGAGGCCCCAGTTTGCTGAGTGCGATGGTGGGGATGCGCGAGGGGGTTCCTGCCATTAACTGGGCTCGACTGCCTTAACTTGTTTCTCTTTTCCCTTCCTCCTTCCCTTTGTCTCTGACCTCTTTGCCTAAATAACCACTCCCACCTGTCTCGCGATGTGTGTGGCCCCGCGACCCCTCTGGGACTGCAGACTAAGAGCCAGTGCCTTTCTGTCGAGCAGTCCACCATCTTTATGCTCTCTCAGACCTCCAGCAGTCTGAGTTTCTAACGGATCAAGGTGATGCTTTTCTGTCATTTGGCATGGTGGGGTTGCGGTCACAGGAAGCGGAGGGCTGACTCCCCGCTGAGCTGTCCGGCTCCCAGCCTGGGCTCCTGTGGGCTCAGGGAGAGCGCACGTCCGGAGCTTCTGGGATGACGCATATCTGAGATGCGAGAAGTACACGTGGCCTGTGCTTCTCTCTGGGTCCATGGGAGGTCCCGGGTCCCAGCTGCCAGGGCACAGGGCTGCCCTGCATCACACTGGCTGGTGGGCACCCGTGGCCCCAGCGCACGGCGGCATGGGTGAGGCGGCTCCAGCCCATGTGGGCAGAGTCCACGCAGCACGGCCCCCTCCCCGCAGCCAATGACGATGGCGGCAAGACCTCCTCACTCACGCAGCTGTGTGGACCCATTGCACAGACAGGGAAACTGAGGCCCCCACGACAGAGTGTTGCACAGGCCCCACAAGACACTGCAGGAAGACAAGGCTCACGCTGAGTCCACCGTGGACAAAGCCAGGAGAGATGTGTTTGGATCAAGTGTTTTTACAGATTCCCTTTCCACTTTTTAAAAAAATCTGATGGTTTTTACAGAAAGCCTCTGCGCTGCTGTAAGTGGCCGTGCTGACTTATCTCTCAGCAGCACAGAGCCACGTGCGGGGCCAGTGCCCGGGGCCACGAGCTGCTCGTGAAGAGCCACGATCTCAGGCACAGCTGTCCAGGGGGCTCCCGTCCGTGTGTCGGCTGTGAGCATCTGAACGACACACTTACCGAGGCCTCAGCATCAGGGATGGGAAGCTGTTTCCCAGCGCCGCTGGGTTCGTAGGAAAATACCTAAAGAGGCTTTGTTTCCTTTTAATGACGGCTCATCCCCTAAGCGTCATTGACACTATTTTTTAACTAAGAGGATGGTGCGTTTTTAACTTCTGGTAATTATCAGCAATCAAAATTTTCCTACTCCGGTACCATCAGGACTTGCTGGAGTAAACGACATAGTTTCACTCACTGGGTACACACCTGAAAACATTTAGGATGAAATTCTTATTAGGGTACATAGATGAAATTCTTATTATAGGGATGTATAAGTCACACGATGTGCTTAAGAAATTGATTAAATCTGACCAACTTTGGGCTAAAAATATCTACATTCACTGCTAGGGATGAGGTTTGCTGAAACTTGCTCTTAGAAGCCCACCTCTGGCTGCTCGGGGACGGCAGGTGCTGGGCGCCCTGCAGGGTACATGGCCCCCGAGGCGGCCCGTAGGCTTGCCCACACCTGCACCTCCTCAGAGCCCCCGGCACACACACAGGTGTGCATGTGCTTCTGGGAACCCCCGCAGCTGGCAAAACTTTGGAGGAACAGACCCCAGACCAGTCCCCACGTCCGATGGACACTTGTTTCCTTGCACCTGTTCTGTCACAAGGAAACGTCTCAGGCAGCAGGTCTCGCGTGTGCACGTGTGACCCGTGTGTACGTATGTGTACACATGTTTCGATGCGTTACCGGGTACGGTTCCGTCCCTTCAAGGAGCGTATCACCTCCCCCCGTCCATCCATCCTTCTTGCTGGAAGACTCTGCATCTCACACCTCCTGCTCCTTCCCCTCTTGAAATTCCCTCCCTGCTGCTTCCCGAGGCCCCGACAGGGTCTGCCGAGAAAGCCGGCCTTGGGCTGTGGCCCTGGGACCCCTGGGCCCTGCAGGAGTCTAGCCTTGGGGTCGGGGCCAAGGACAGGGACAGAGCGATGGCAGGTGCAGTCCCTCCCGTTCCGGGCGAGCACTGGGGAAGCTGCGGGTCGGCGGGTGCCCAGCCTGTGCTCCTCTCCGTGCCCTGGACCGTCCCGTGGTCGCCGCCGGGCGAAGGCTGTTAGGAAGACCCGCCCCTTCCTTCCCCGCGGCGCCCTCCCGCCACCCCCAGCTCGCAGCGACTCCCGCGGCAGACCACGGGCCCTTCGCCCGCCCACCGCCCGGCCCGGCACAGGGCCCCGCGTCGGCCGCGCAGCGGGGTGACGGCCCGGACGGCAGGCACCTCTCAGTGTTTCTCCTCGCCTTGCAGCAGAGCACGAGCCTCAGAGCGTCGGTCGCTGCGGGCACGGAACGGCCGCTTCTGAAGGACCTGCTGTCGCGGCCGAGGCGCCGGTAGCCGAGGATAGGTAACCGCGCCCGCCGCGCCTGGCGGGCCGCCCGGTGTGCCGTGACCCCCGCACTGCCCGTGTTCCTCCAGAGTTTTGTTGAGCCGCGCTAGTTCTGATAACAGGTTCATGGTGGAAAAAAAAGTTTTTACGCACACGTGTGTCTGTCCCGGGTAAGTGACCTGCCTGAGCGTGTCTGGTGGCAGGTGGCTGTGCGCACACACACGCGCGCGTGCCGGCGCCCTCCCACACGCACTTGCGGGATCTTCTCACACGCTGTGCAAGGGGCTTAGTTTCCAGAACGAAGCTCGTCCCTCGGCCTTGGCTGTGGAAGGACCTTCCCCCGAAAGGTCTGTGAGGAAAGCCCGTGTTTTGACAAAAGGGCAGAAGGTGGCCCGGTTGGCGGGAGCGTTGGCCCAGGCAGACGTGCGCCGCAGGTGTGTGGTCGGCAGCGGCACACAGAGCCCTGTCTGCCCCGGGAGGGGACGGAAACGCTGCCACACCCTCGACGCACCCCGAGCTGGGTGTCTCCGCTGGGACAGGCAGGCCGCCTTCTCTGCCCGGGGGCGCGTGTTCCTTTAAGACCCGTTTCTCCCGACGGCTTCCCCCAGTGCCCGCCGCCCAGTGAATTTATGAGGCCGCGGCCTCCTTGGCAATAACAGCCTGACAGCCCGGCAGACAGAGTGTCCGTGTGCGAGGAGGTGATGGAGACCCAGCCCCACCCCGGGCCCCTGGCGGACACTTCACATGGGGACGTACTCCGTCTGGAGCGGGCAGGGGAGCCGTCGGTGACCAGAGTGCGGTCACCACACTGGCTCTGTGTCCTCGGCCACGTGGGACACACGTGCCCGCCCCGTGTCTGGACGGGAAGCCCCGTGGGCAGTGTCAGCACAGGCTGGGTGGGGTTCTCACCGAGGGTCTGGGACTGACACTGTCCTTTCCGTTCTCCGGCAGAGCACACGTGTGTGCGGCCAGGACCGCCTCCCCGAGCTCACCCTCCTGGCCTCCCCGCAGAGCCCCAGCCCCGGGCCGTGTGGCCGGGCCCACACACAGAACGGGGGACGCTGACGTGGCCTCCTCTCGCCGGTCTTCTGCATCACCACTGCTCTCCCAGCCCCGTGCCCCACGGGTGGACCGCTGGTGGACAGGCCACCGGTCCGAGGCTCTGAGAGCCACACGTGTGTTCTCCCTGCTCCCGACTGAGGGACGAGGACAGCAGGACTGGGCTGGTGTGCACGGCTGGCCAGCGTCACCTCCTGGGGGCTGGCGGCCCGTGCAGCTTCCTTTGGGCCCCTGGTTGGGTTGTGAAGGACAGTGTGCGTGGACCGGCCAGGGCCTCCAGTCCCACAGGCTGTCGGAGGAGGACCCCCGCGTGAAGGTGGGCCATGAGCCGGAGTGGGGGCGGCCACACCGACCGTCCTGAGCGCAGGGGCCTCGTCCTCACCACGGGACGGGCTGGCCTTGCCCCCGTGCATCCTTGTCCAGAGCCCTCCCGTCCTTGTGCTTCTGGAACCGGCTGAACAAGACCGTGACACCATCGTGCTCCCACGGCCTGTCGGAGTCCTAGACCGTGTCCTGCTTCTGTCCGAACCCGCCTCCTAGCGAAGCTGCTTTTCAGGGTTGTGTCGGACGCGGAGTTTGTCCCTCCGAGGGAACCTAGTGTCCCGTGTGAATCTGTTTCCTCTCCCAGCTGCTCCTGCGAGAAACAAGTATCGTGTGAGAAGAACAGATGACGCGGTCCTCTCAGGCCCCCAGTGCCAGGGATGGGACAGTCGTGCCCACAGCCCCTTAGGGCCTCCCTGCGTGCTCGCATCCAGACGGCTGTCTCACCGGTTCCAGGGCACACTGGTGGGGCCCGGGGCAGAGCCCGTCGTTGTCTTCATCGAGGGGGGCCTGCAGGGGCCGTGTCTGTCTTCCAAAGTCTATTTCAGGCCACGCAGGTCTGACGCTGAGGCAGCCTCCGAGTCCTGAAAAGCGGGACTGCCGCCCCGGACCACTGCCCACGGCCGAGACTGGGCCCCAGGCCCCTGTGTGTTGTGCTGGATCCGCCGCGCTGCTGTCCGCCGGCCGGGGCGTCTCCGGGGTGGGCGGACCTGGAGGAGGCCGCTGCGTGGACCGCCCTCGTCCCTTCTCCGTACCGCCATTTGTTTCTAGAAATAACCTCCTCGACGTAGCCTTAATGGTCCGCAAAGAAGACATTTCAATCTGAGATTCACAGTGTGGATGTGGGAACGGGCACTCTGGAGAAGAGCTTTGCCCGGAGCTCAGCAGGCCTCTGCCTGCTGCCGGGCGCCAGACTGTGGCCCTGGGGACGCTGGTGAGTGGACACGGGGTCGGCTGCGCACCAGGCACTACAGGAAGTCCCGGTGTCACTGCTGACTGTACGACGTCTCGTCTATAAAATACTCGTTTGGACTGGGGGACGAGCGGACTGCGTGCACAGAGTAGTTGGCGGAAGTTCAGGGGAAGTAGAAACAGCAAACCAAAGACCAGGAGAACGGACGGGGAGTGCACCGGGGTGTCCATCCCGCCGCCCTCCGTCCTGCCGTCCCGCCACCCTCCGTCCCGCGCGCCGCCGCCCGTGTGTGGGGTGTCCTGGCCAGCATCCGCGCCAGACCCTGTGAACAACGGTGTGTGCGTTTTTACAGCTGTTTTTAAGAACCCAGTGTGGGTATCAATGTCATACCTGTGGGGGACAGATTCTCTGTATGTTTAGTTAACAAATTGTTTGTAATGTATTTTTTTAGAAATCTTAAAATTGCCTTTGCACAGGACTATTTTCATAGCTGTTTCTATCTCTTTATTCATTTCTTTGTTAACATGCCACATCTAATTTTTAAAGTATGTTTTTAAAGCTTCTGATTTTTAAGTTGATGAACTTTTGGCCACTTTGCATTTAAATTCTGGTGGGAGTTTGGGGTGTGTCCGTGTCCAGGGGGTGCGAAGTCGCTGGTCCCCGGCAGTGGTGATGGGCTGAGGCCTGTCTAGAGCACAATACTTTGCTTCCGGATTCTTCATGGCTGATTGTGATTTTCATCTGCTGTTTGTTTTGTGTTTGGTTTGCATCCTTCGGCCTTAAAATAGAAGCTTCTCGAGGGATGGTTTGGTGTTCTCTTTCCGCCCGTACCGAGATGGTCACCATTTGCCTCTGATAACACACGTCTCGTTGGGAAAGTCACTAACCCCTTCCGTGTGCCGAATGTCTTCTCTGAGATCGTTGGGGAAGTCCTCTGCACCTGCCCCGCACGGTGGACACGGGGCCGGAGGGAGGGCGGCGAGCCCCCGGGGCAAGTGTGTGCGTGGGACCCCGTGCGACCTCTTGCCTACACTAGTTCCTGTTCACTTGCCTTAAACTGACCTGAAAGCAAGTCGTGTCAGCGCCAAGCACTCCCCTTCGTCCCGAAGACCTCGTTCAGGATGGCACCTGTGGACGGGTCACCACCGTGAGCTCCCACGCCAGCCCCAACAACTGGTTCCGAAGCCGCACACCATGCCCCTCAGAGCAGGTCACACTAACGCACAGGTGGTCCCGACCACGTCCCCGTCTCTTGCCTTCAGCTCCGTGTCCACTCGGGGCCACACATACACGCTCCCTGGGCCCTGGCCCTCCTTCTCCCTTCCTGAGGGGACCCTGCCGGGAGCTCTGGGAACACAGGGCTCCCTGGACTTCGAGCCTCGCACCCTGGCAGGGCGCGGAGATGGGATGGACACGCTGCCAGGCCCCTCCCCGGGTCGGCCCCCTGGCTGATCCGCCCCACGTGGCTCTGCCCTCGGCACAGGCGGCAGAGGGCGGCCTCTGGACCCCTCAAGCCTCCGGGAGCCCCGGCCGGCCCTCTGCCACGGGCAGCCGGCGGAAAAGGCGTCCTCTTGGCAACTCGGTGCGGAGCCAGCCCGACCGCTCCTGTGCGTCAGACTCCGGGGGTGAGCGGAGGCTAGACAAGGCCCTCGCGGTGCCACGCGCCCAGTTTCTGCAGTGACGGGCTGCAGAACTGTCGCTTGGCCTGGTGAGATTTTGCAGCTTTAAGTACAAAAACGTCTCCTCCGTGCTGTTCTGGTCGGTCTCCAGTCGTGGCACATCAGCCAGATGCGCAGTGCGGCCTGGAGGGGGCTTTCCGGACCTTTTCGCTAAAACCACTGAGTTCGCTGTGTCGCACTGACTGGAGTGACCCGGCGTGGCCCTCCGTTCCTCCGAAAGTCGCATCATTTAACAGCCCGCGTCACGTCTCCATGTCTACGTTTCTTTTGGACGCTTCCCAGTTAGAAACAGGAAAAATATCAGCTGGCAAATGCGTTTTTTTAAGTTAGAGGGGAGGTGAATGGGAAAGAGAATCATTCTGAATATCGTCCGTAAACAAAGCTTTAATGAAGGTGTGTCAGAAGTATGATCCAAGTGTGATTCTGCTTTTGCAGAAAAAAATCTAAAGATCAGTTTATATAGCTTTATTTTTTACCTTATCAAAATATACAGAATTTTACTATGCATATATTATTGTCTCTGACTTAAAGCTATGATGTGTGTCTGCATCGCCATTTAAAATGCCCGTTCACCGTGTAATGTAATAGAAGAGAATCTTCAAGTGTATTCAACACGAGTGGTATCCATAGTTGTCTTCGTCATAAATACTGGAATTTATTTTTAAGTTATTGAACATAGTAGGTAGTCATGTTTAATTGATAATGATTCATTAACCCGCTTTGAAAAATTAAATTGTGATTAAACCAAATCTTACACTTCTGCAAAGTTCCTTTTGTATGCTACTGATTTTAACTTTTATTTCTGTAGATAAAGTGTGACTTAATTATATTGCATTTTTCTGCAAACTATTTAAGCAGGAGACTTGAATCTGCTTGCAATAAAGAAGAAAAAAAATTCTGGCTTGGTTTCTTTATGAATTTAAAAAAAAAATCAGTTGGCCTTAAATCTCATAGAGGTGCCTGGGTGGCTCAGTTGTTAAGCATCTGCCTTTGCCTCCGGTCATGGTCCCCAGGTCCTGGACTGAGCCCCGCATCGGGCTCTCTGCTCAGCGGGGAGTCTGCTTCCCCCTCTCCCACTCCCCCTGCTTGTGCACTGTCTCGCTGTCTGTCAAGTAAATAAATAAATAAAATCTTTAAAAAAAAAAACAACCTCTGGGGACAGAAGCTGCAGGGGTGAAACCTCTCAGCCTGAGGGTTTGGGCTGAAGGTGGGCAGGTGTCCCCCTCCCGGATGCCCGGGCAGCGCCCACACTTACCAAGGCCATGGCACCGCCCCCAGGGCCACCCGCTGCTCCTCTGACCTCGGCCGCAGGCACCGACCTACCCAGAGACCCGTCTGCTCCAAGGCACGCCAGTGAAGCCCGGGACCGGCTCACAGGCCTTGTGCACTCTCTGGGGGCACCCAGGCTGCAACGTGACGCCCGGTCCCTGGGTCTGGATCCGGGCGGGGGTCCCAAGGTCATGAGGGGGTTCTGCTCCAGGCTCAGTCCTGCTGCTGGCGGTGTTGGGGGTAGACCATGGCAGCCCCCCCATGCAGACGCATCCCCGCGAGTCTGTGCCTCGTTGTCACATGGCGTCTACCTGTGAGCATGTCTGTGTCCATCTATCCCTCGTGAAGGACGCCGGTGGGACTGGTGGCCCGTCCTCGTCTGACATTTGTCGCCCCTGTAAGAACCTGTCTCCAGAGAAGGCCACATTCTGAGGTCCTGGGTCTTCCCAGATCTTGAGGGGACACAATCACCCCGTAAGGCCCTGCTCGGGGGACCCTCCGGGAGCGCGTCAGCCCGCGGGGCTGGGCGAGCGCAGAGGCTGTGTGTGCCGGGCGCACGTGCAGAGGTGAGGAGCTGAGGGCCACAGATGCTGAGACGTAGCAGCCCCGCGGGGAAGATGCGGCCCAAGTCAAGCCGGACCCCAGCCCGGGCCCTGGTTGTCGCGGGCCGGTGCGAGGAAGGGAGGAAGAGCGCTCTGGAAGCGGGGGGGGCTTGGGGGCCGAGCTTCCCCCTCCTGGAAGGACGCAGAGCCGGCCCAGGGGAGCCACCCCGGGGAGT